GTCGCATCCAACGGGATCTACCAAGTTGGTAGCGGAGCTTGGGGCTCCTTCCCAGGGCGTCACACCGTCCATCCCGCGCCTCTGCATGGAGCCGAAGGCCGAGGCTGGCAGCAAGGAGGCCCCGACTACTTCTTCAATGCGCCAGTTGATGACAAGCCCTTGCGGCCAGATGAGGCCTGACGGCCCCGGCGACCCAACCTGGTCAACCTTTTGACCAGCCGAGCTCGCGCCCGGAACTTCGCCATTGCACCTGGCACCGGCTTCTTCCTCGCCACCAAGCCCACCGGCAAAAAGACCGACGACGGCGCGTGGGTTGGCGTCGACCACCCCAGACATCGTCACCCACCAGACCACCCATTACCAGGCTCCTCCAAGTTAGAAGGTTACATGGCTTACATGGCTTACATGGCTTACATGGCATGGCTTACGTGGCTTCTGGGAATGGCCTGCCAAAAACCTGCCTGGTGAGAAACGCTTGAGTTCGGGAATGCACTCTGGCAGGTACTCTGTGCATGATCGGAGCCAGCTTAAGATTCTTTTGCTTGCCAGCCGGCCCCCCATGCCTTTGGCACCACCTGATTTGGTGGCGGCCATGCTGCCACCCCTTTGCGTACGGTCACTGGTCAGTTGCTTCCAGCGTGCGGTTCGGCATCATCAGGATCGATGTCAGGACGGGCTGCGCCAGCCCCCGTGCCCATGGGCGCGACGGTGGAGACACACGGCTTCACGGAGGGAAGGTGTGGTCCTTAACTCACCAACCTTCACTGTGCGCCGCTAGCGCGGCCAGAGGTTCCGCGCCTGCAATGTCCGAACCAGCAGCAACTACGGCTGATAAACAGCGCCAACGGCAGCAGCTTGCAGCCACACCCTGCAGCACGCGCGTCGCATATATCAAGACTACGGCGCCGCAACCCACAGCCTGACAGCGCTACTTGACATCATTGGCAGCCAAGAAGCAGCAACCCGTCGGCCAGGAGCAAAGATCTGGCACAGCACACGCCGCAGATGCTTGAGAGCGAGGGCCCATCCACAATGGGGAGGAAGGGTCGTGGAAGCCACTGGGCCTGCCCAGCACCTCATGACGCGCAAGGAAGCCGTCGAGGGGGACGAGGGAGAAAAGCGCGGATTTTCCTTGGACTTCGCCCAACTCCAAACACAATATTGGAACAGTGTGCCCGGCTGTCAACCGCCAGAGTCACCTGCCGCGTCTAGGGTTAGCGTTTCGCACGTTCTTGGCGTGAGTTTTCTACATGCCCAGCCGCTTCTCCCGAAGAAAAATCAGGGGCGTGAAAGTGGCAGTCGGACGCAGCAGACTGAGCTTCAGGTCTTCCGATGAAAAGGCAGCTGTGTCACAGCAAGCGGGATCTGCCAAGAAATCGACTTGACATGTATGCGCCACTAACTTGCCACTACCTTGCCAGGTTTGCAATTCGTGGGGGCGAGACCGGCAGGACCCAACTGCAGTGCAAGCTGAGCTCAGCAGCGAGGGCCCTGGACGTTATCGCAGTGGGATGCGGTCGGTTTTTGAAGTGCTGTAGGAGCTTTTGAGTAGCGCCAATGTTGTTGTTTTCCGACGGTTTTGTTGAAGTATTGTTTGTAGCTTGGCACTGGTACTTGGGGTTCTGTAACTTCCAGTAAACTTAAGTTGTCATGGTTAGTTATGCAGTTTGAACCGAAGGGCGGAGGCTTGGCCGCGCTGCTTTTGCTTGCGAGAGTAGCAGATTTGGCGGGCGACGGAAAGGTTAAGGAAGATGCGGTTCCTTTCCCAAACCAGCTGCTGCTGGTCCGATCCTTGCCACACCTTGCCTCTGAGGTGCACAAAGCAGCCGACCTGCTTCACTCCAACTCCAAGCGCGCTTCAGAGAATTGCGTGCTGTTGGCACATGCGCTGTGATGCTATGTGATGCTGCCAGTGCGCCGGCCAAGTTCGACAATTTGTGTTGTTTCTCGCACGCTTTCAAGTGCGTGCCGTCCAGTTGCGCAATGGAATTCCAGTGACAAGACAAGCCCTTCCCAAATCCAAAGCAAAAACCTTGAACCTAACGATGTTGTTGCCCAGATGCCTTGCCCTGGTTTGAAAATATGTTTTTGCAGCCAGGAGAGGCTGAAGCCACAAGGCACAAAGGTCGCGGCCATGGAGTGGACCTTAGCTTTTGTGAAATGCATCATCGCCAGCCCGTAGTGCCACCACGAGCCACCGTTTGCACAGGGTTTAGAGGTCTAGTGGTGCAGGATTGCCCAGTTTGGGTGTCTTCCGGCACTTCCCGTTGCAAGAATTCGGAAGTTTGCCTATTCTCAACATGAAGACCGGCACCGTATGGCAACTTTGATTGACTGAATGATGTAGGAGACTACAGGATTCCCTATATGTCCGCTGTGCTGTTTTTTTTACATCACGTTTTGGGCCATGCTAAATGAGGTGGTTGTTTAAAGGGGAAATATATAAGGAGACCCGGTCTACATGAGTGCGAGCATCACAGCCTTGAAAGATTCATGCTCCAACTCAGAGCCTTGAGCACCAAGGTAGAGGAGGATCCTTCCGTCTGCGTGCAGGGGGTGCCGTACCTCCTTTCCCAGGTCATTTGCGATGACGAGCTGCAGGCACGGATTAGGGGGGCGGGCTGGCACCCTCCCAGGCCTCATAATTGGCACATGACGTGGTGTAAGACTGTTCGTGACAATTCGTGTAACAGTTATAGTGCCATACTGAAATTGTCGCTGTGGTCTCCGCAATGACACACCTACCAGCCCTAAGGGCGAGACGCGGCTGTTGCTCTTTTTTTGTATATATGTGCGTTTGTGTGCGTGTGTGTCCCCATTCGAACAAAGGACCCCCTTCATTCAAGCAATTAATCCCCCCGCAATTGATGTTCGAGGGACGGCGTTTTGTCTCACTTTCTTGACTGATCTCTTGCACCAGGCGCTCAGGGCAACTGGGCCCCTGCACGCGCCAGGATCGGATGACAGATGAGGAGTATCAGAGGCAGTCGGTGTGCGGAAATGGGCTTTGAGTCCTTACGCATCGCGGGTTTTTTGGACAAACTTCGTCGCTGGTAAGCATGTGAACAGTTTGGCATCTCGGTCGACATGCGCATCATCCAGCCTGCAGCTTCTGACCCAGGAGGGGCCCATTTGACGCAGATTCTGGTTTTGGAGATTCATGTGCAGTCTTCAAGCAATGAAATTGCGCACCCGAATTTCCACTCGCCAGTCCTGCTGCTTGGGTATGTTCACTCTTGGAGGACCGTCAATTCACCAAAACATCTCGGGTTTCAAAGCTGAATCCTAGAAAATGCAGGGAACTCGGAATTCCCCACCAAGCGCCAGCTTCTACGACTTGGACCGGGCCCTGCAGCGACGGAAGCTGCGGAAGCGAATGGGTACGCCAGCCGCTGCCTGTAAAGGGGGGTTTGTGAGCCCAAAGCTGGCCTAAAACTTCTGAGCGTTGGCTATCCAAATTTTCGCTCATGTCATGCAAATCATTGGATTGTTCGATATTCAGTTGAATTCTTGAACAGCTGTACGCTGTTCAGGCGACACAGGGAAAGTAGATGTGATAAACACATATAAACACAAGTTTTGTAGCTTGCTGGTGGGGGCAAGCTGAGGCTGGCTGGGCTCGACGCTACTTTACTTATGACTTTGCACGAAGAGTTGCTGAGACATGTCCTCATTCTCGCCTGGGAATATTCATATGTGCCCAATGTGCCAGTTGTTTGGCAACTGAATGTCGGCCAAAAAGCTCGATTGGTTACGTAGATCGTTCTTGGCTGCTGCAAACGGTTGCATTGCGTTGTAGTGACCATGGTTCAGTCGCACACGTCCAAGTTGTTTCGGCCCACTCAAAGATTGGAAGCCAAATATGCAACTTTGCTCAACCTATTCGTTTTATGACTTCCAGGCTCGCACAAATTGCATGGTAGATCAAGGCAGCTTTGCATCTCGCAGTGTGGAATGCTCTCCTTAGAGGGAGAGGCATAGAAAGGCAGTCGCAGCTGCCCTTTTTGACATGTCGGCTCCTGCTTGGCTTGACCGTAGATTGATGCATTTGCTTCCGCAGTCATGCTCGAGCCGGGGTTTAGGTCAATCCTTTTGCGATTGCACCTGGATCTCGGTGTTAGCCGCCAAGCTGCATGATACTGTGGGTGGACGAAATCTTGCACCACCTAAGCAACCCTGGAAGGATGATTTCTTCGAAAATACCAACAAGTTATGGTTTCCCATGGAATCAAAGTGGTGCAGGATGTTTTCCATCCGCAGTAGCTTTGGACTACAACTCTCTCCTTTTGCTCCCGGGCCCACTACCCAGGGCTCATTTGTGCTTAGCCTGTGCCAAGGTTCGGTGCTGCCTGGGCAACTCGCAGCATTAAGCGGGTCTTGGCATGGATGTAGGCTTCAAACGTTTCACCATTCTCTGGTAGGGGCGGGAGTTGCTCTCTCCAATTTGTCGGGACTGTATGGAGGCTTGCAATTATTATTTTGGAGACAGTTGCTTGCGCGCTTTTCTTTTCAGGAAGAGCCTCAGATATCGTTGCCAATTGACTCATCGTGGCAACCAAGGCAATCGAGAACGATTGGACCCGGGTAGCGCCTTGCAGGGGCCACGGTTTGCGAATGACGAGCTTGGATGCCTTCAGAGTTTCAAAGGTAAACCCAAGGTGGTAAAAACCGACCTCTTTAACATTATTTAACTTTTTTGTTTTCTTTTGTTGCTCCACTTTTAGTACCCGTCCCAAAAGGTTAGGCTTGCATTTTTGGGCCATTCTGGGCCCTTTGAGCAGCTGAGAAACCCGTTGTTGTGAACAATCTATGAACAGTGTCGATGGAGAACCCTGGAGACATTTGGATGGAGACCGTGGTTCTTGACTTGATTTTATCCAACATGCGGCCAGCTCATCGTATCAACTTGACAGAATGACTGAGGGTGCAGGTGGATTGAGGGGAGTCCATTGGCAAAAGCGGCCCCGGCTTCGCTTCGCACAGGCCAGAAGCTGGCACCAATGAAGCACCTGGCCACCCTAGGCAGGGCATGTGTGCGAGGGCTTGCCTAAGTGGCTCACCAATCGCTGCGCAAATTGCTAGAAGCACAGCAGCATGGTAAAATGCCACACTGGTAGGTTTTGGCACCCTTTGAGTGTCGCGATGAAGGCGAACCATTATGAGAAGCATGAATGGTTGATTATGGGGTGATGCACTGGCCGCAAGCAATCGTCGTTTCAGTGTTTCGGGGGTCCCCTATGCTTGGTTTCCTTTTTCTTGTCACCGGAAAGGTTGGTTCATGTTGGTTCTCTTTTTCCTTTGCTGTCCTTTCCCTTTGCCAGATGGTTTGTTTCCATTGGTTTCCTGTGGTATCCTGCGGGCCCGCAAGGTGTGGCCATTCTTCTTCATGAAGTCTCCGCCTTGAAGGCGGGCGGTTGATGCAGATTCACATGGCTTAGGCTCGTTTTTGGAAGTTGTTGCACCTTTTGCCAAGAGGAAAACCACAGCTTTTGAGGAAAACCACAATTTCGGGGGTCCCCCAAAATAGACCCCCGGGATCTCCTGTTGGGGGACCCTTTGTTCGGGGTGGAGGGAGCCAAACAGCTGCTTTTCTGCTGTGGTCCGCATTGTCCACACCATCCGGGCCAGAGCATTCCTTCGAGTCCCTCCATTGGGTTCCCTTGAGCTGCACTGCATGTGTACAGCCTTCCGATGGCCTGTTTTTAGACAGTTGTTGTGTCCAGTGACCTGCGTAGTCGACCATGCTACAGATGCTGTAGCTGGGGTCCTTTGGGGGGGGGGGCGGGGGGGGAAGGCCTACCAGTCCTACAGCTTGCTGGGTGGCAGCAGCCTGGACTCGCTGAACTCAGTTCTGGGCGCCATCCAGCAGCGCCTCGGGCCCGGCACCCCGGGAGTTTTTTCTTTTTCTGCTGACGCCTTGTTCTTTGCTTTGCTTTTCCTTTTCGTCCACGCACCTTAGTCATGTTGCCGCAAGTTGCACAAGGTTTGACAATATCCAATGCTTGCTGTACTGCAGCGAAGCTACCTTTCATCCCCCAGCCCTCGTTTTTCGGAGTCCGATCTCCCGACGTGGCTTTCGAGGCAGCAATCGCCCTTGGCAAAGACGGATGAGCTGCTGAGGCGCTCACCCACTCGGCGCTTTCGTGTGAGAATTATGAATCCCGGTGTAGACAATGGGTGCCTCATGCCTGGCAACAAGCTCTCACTCCATGTGTTGGACTCTTGCAAGGAGATGTGTCACAAGCAAGTCCTTAGGAAAGCGGACGTTGCTTCTCAGCGGGGCAACTGACATTTTCGGTAGTACCGCGGAAGAGCACGTTTCATGATTGTGTTTCGCTGTGTGTTGTTGTCTCTGCCTTGTCTTGTCTTGTCTTGTCTGGTCTCGTCTGTCTATTGTCTGTTGTCTGCCTTGTTTGTCTTGATTTTCTTGTTGCTCTTGTCTGTCTTGTGTGCCTTGTGTGCCTTGTTTGCCTTGTTTGCCTTGTCTGCCTTGTCTGCCTTGTCTGCCTTGTCTTGTCTCTTGTCTGCCTTGTCTGTCTTGTCTGTCTGGTCTGTCTGTTGGCTCGCTCGCTTGCTTGCTTGTGGGTTTCTTTGTTTGGTTGTTCATTCATTCATATGTTTTGAAACACAGGCAAGGCTGTCAGCTTGTAGCACAGTCTCATGTTGGAAGCGGCAGGCGCCGTCGCTAGCTAGGCTACACGGCATTGTGTAAGTGGTTCCCCACCAAGTTGTCCAACTCTTTTGGATTGAAGCTAGTCCTGAACGTTGTAGTGCCATCGGCTCATGCATGTTACAGAGCTGGGAAAAATATGCTTTGCATACTGCGTGCGAGGCAGAAGCCTACTTTGACAAAATCCATCATCAACGAGATGGGCAAATATGCCGTCAGTCGCCATTCTGAATTTAGGCTCTACCGGGAAGGAGAAGAATGAAAGGCTACGTGTGTGTGCCCCTATGGCCTCCAGTGCAGCCTTTGGCAGGCCCCCCTACTTGTCGTCAGGGTTTGCTTCGATGCCGTTTTTGCCATGAGGCAGATATAGTAGAACACAAGGACAATCAAGGACACCTTTCGCATCACGGCTTCAAGCTGGCCTGCAGAGCATAAGAGCGGCCGGCTAGGCTGATGGCTGCGGAGCATTAACATTGTGTTAACTGGAGGCACGACTGATCAGAGAAACATCTGGCATGTGTCTAATTCGTCCCAGGTGACCTGTAATCTTTCGGCACTTGACCATTTACTTCGATAGGGCGCATTGAGCAGAAGCACGATTCTGTAGTATAGGCTCGAATGCTTGGAGGGGCAGCTAACTCTTGATTTGCAGGGAAATTCACACCGACGATCACTCATGACGCTACACCATCAAGTCAGCAGACATCAAAGCGGGAGAAAGGATAAGGGGCGAGGATTGAATTCGGAATGCCTAGTGTGAGGCTTGGAGTAGCATGATCGAATCCATGATGAAATTATGCGCTGTGTGTCTGTGTGCGCCTCGTTCCCCTTAACATATTGATGTGCTCCTAAACGTGGCGAACAGTGACGTGATATATATATATAGCCTGATGCATTGACAGGCCTTTGCTCTTGCAAGCAACCCTCGACACTAAGTTGACCGCTTCGATGCTTCACAGACGCCGCCTGCAAAATCTTGTATTGAATTAAGGCATGGCAAAGTGTGCATGACCTTCCCCCCCCCCAAGGCTGGCGACATGAGATAGAGACCGAGAAAGAGGCAGCAGTGGGGGGGCCCAGTTGGTGGCTTGCTGGCGCTCCCTGCTTCGTGGCCATTCCGCAATTGTGTTTTGCTGAGCTGGTGGCAAGCAAGTGAAGCTCCTGGCAAAGTATGCAACAATTAGGGTCGCAAGATGCGGAGAATCCGAATATTTCGGTTTGATGCAAGTGTAGATCTTGTCGCCATTCAGCTGAGACACAGATGCCATGGGTATTGGCACGCTGGATGCACTCCCTGTGTTCCATGATGCAGTGCCGGAAGCAAGGTCAAGATCTTGAAGGAGTCCTATGCAGAGGTGATCGCCTGCAAAGCGGATTTCCTCAGTGCCCCTCCAGCACTCACATGCGTTTGTCTTCAAGATGGGTGGGTGTCCGTCTTGCTTCCTTTCAGCCAAGGTGAAAATTTGTCTCAACGAAAATCAGTTAGTTGTCAATGGGTGGGGCAGTGGTAAGCTGATGGCAAACGGCATTCGGCAGTTGGCTCAACAGTATGTGTGAGACACGTGATGCAATTTGTTGACCGAGGTGAAATGGATTCTGCCAATGTGATGCAGGACAGGGTAAGCAGACGAGCTACAGTCCACTGCAAGCGTTGTGCTCCCTTTTTTTAGAAAGGCATTGCTGGCATTACCGGCACGGCCTTGAGCAGCTGACTGCAGCGGAATTGCTTTGCGAGCCGTTCAGGGCGGATCATTAGTTGACAGTCCGCAGCTAAAGCGTGCAAGTGTTTGGGCAGCAGTATCGCAGCAGTTCATGAATGTGGCGGCTCTTGCCCTCAAGGAAAACCTCTGATACGCTTGCTTTGTGTTGCTTTGCTAGCAAGCAGTGTGAGATCCTTTCGGCGTTTTCCGCAGGCCAACCTGCCCAACATGAGCGAGGCCCATAGAAGCTGCCGAGCACAGCAAAGCCGTCAGCACCAGAAGGTGCTGATTTGCGAGGCGTGGGGGCAAGAGAAAACGAGCTGGCTGTCTGCACCTAGATGATAGGCTCGGACTTTCAGTATGGCAGAGGCTTGCACAACACCCTTGTCTTCTGTGTATACGCGCAAATCCTCCAATCGACCGCTATCAAGGACTTGTGTTTTTGTACCAAAAGACTCAGAAATCCTTTTTGCGTTTAAAACAACACGTACACTATCTTGAGCGAATCCCGTGCCATTGCTTGAGCCCATGGGCAGGGAAATCATCTTACAATAGATAGTAGTCCCATAAAGTATTGCCTGATTCTAACTTATTGGGAGAGGTGTCTTCAAGCTTCAAGGCACTCTCAGCAAGTTGACTTGGGGCTCTTGCATTGAGACGACACGGGCATTCTAATGGCCACTGCTTGGGGCAACATGCGCTCGGTGTGAAGATCATGTCTTGCGCCTTGCCTATCCAGTTTCCAGGCATCACTTCGAGGGAAGACAGCAGTGCGCAAGACGCAACTTGGCTTAGCAGCGGCTTGCTGCATGCGTTGGAGTAGCCGAGTGGCTCAATCCGATCCTTTAACGATAGTATTTTGAAATGCTTGCAGAAAAGGTGACGCACTGGCTTTGTTTTGCCATTGCAAGCTCGTTGCCCGACAAAAACTTCTAAAGCTGACCCAGGCGATTATTGACGCTGCGGACATGCATTGAGTTTTCATGCGATCGCAGCGCAGCGCTACATCAAGGTTTTGTCATGCAACATGTTTCACTCGGGAGTGCAGCAAGAGGCTGGTGGGTCCCAACCATCCCCAAATATGGCAACAGTGGGGTCCGGGAGTGGTTCTGACAACGACATACCAGGTCAGAGGCATTTCATTTGAGCGTGGGAGCGAAGTGCAGGGGATCAACTCCCCAATATAAAGATTCCAACGGGGAAAACAAGTTTGAGGATGCCCCTTCAAAGCAAATGCGGAACAAACACGTTTTTCTAGGGGCCCGAGTTCCGGTTCGTCCGCTTTTTGGTCCCTGGGTATTCGTCCTTTTCTGCGCTCCCCCCTCTCCGGTCCCAAAGTCATTCAAATCGGCAATTTCCGAGCAGCTGAATCAGTGTTTCTTTTTGGACTGGTGCAAGTTGAGTATTGGTCCCTCTTGGAAACAGTGTGTTTTTAGGGATATTCCACGAAAGCATTGTGTTTCCCCGAATAATTAGCATCGTTGGGATTATGACATGTTTAGAGGTTTTGAGTCTCCTGGTAATGTTGGTTTAGTATTGGCTTACTTTTGGTCTAGTAATTGCGACTCAGACGAAATGCCTCATCTGATTTTGCATAGGTTCTGAAGGGCCGCCTAGAACAGCGCAAGTTTCGTATTTGTGTAATGAAACAAGGTTTCATGTTAGGCGGGCCTTGGTTATTTGGGAGGACCGGACTAGATGTATTTAGAGTGAATGTCTGCCTTGAGGATTTGGCGTGGAAACAGGATGTGCAAAGGGTGACCGGGGTTGAAACTTGGACCCCAGGGAGTGCAAGAACTTCAAGGACAACTACGACACCCTCCCGCAGCCCAAGAACTTCTGGTCGGCCGTTTGCGAGGTACAGCCTCCAGGCACGGCTTCTTCCAGCAGCCTTCAGGGGGGAGTCTTTGTTTCAGTTGGAGCGTGGGCAGGCAAAAGCTGGGTCTGTCTTTTTTTGGAGGTACCCACTTTTGGTTGAAGAAAACCAACAGAAAGTCCGGAACGTTTTCTTGGGGGCGGTATCTGAAAGCTTTGCTGCGGTGCTGTATGATTGTAGCTCTCAGCTACGCTGTGGCGATCCTCATGAGGCAGGCTGTGAGCACACCACGCACAAGACTTGGAAGGGGTAGCATTTAGTAACATGCCTGGCCCAGCAAGGAATAAGTGACCAAGGTGTCCATATGCCAGCGTGCTGTTATTTTTGGAATGGCTGGTCTCAACTATTTTGTGGCATGCATACCTTTTTGAAGCCTGCCGGGCCAACTCCGAGCATGAAAGCACGAGTAGTTCAAGTTTCTTGCAAGTCAGCACCTTGTTTCTGGACCAGGCAACCACTTGTTTTGGCATACATCGCTGGCATAACACGACCAGCGAGGTTCCAAGTCTGCAGCTAGGGATTCGAAACGAAAAAGGTAGAGAAGCCCGATACCAGTCCGTAGCACCAGGTGATTGACTGAAATACTAGTATAGCTTCACAACGATACTGTGACTCAGATAGTCTAAGGTACACTTGTTGACGTTGAACATGCCTACGTCTCGGAATGGTCAGGATCCTGTCTTCAGAATCCAGACGCAGACAAGCATCATGTAGATACGGCGGCATACAAACAGTCAATCAAGCAAAGCATGCATGCATGCAAGCAAGCAAGCAAGCAAGCAAGCAAGCAAGCAGGCAGGCAGGCAGGCAAGCAAGCAAGCAAGCAAGCAAGCAATCACACAAGCAAACAACAGTCGGGGCATGCCACTAAGCAGAAAGGGACAGCCGCAATATGGAAGCGGATCCATTTGGCACCCCTGCCAAACACACCTGACATTTGCTTACAGCATCTCTTGCTGATTACTACCTGCCAGTAGTTACCAATGTTAATTTAAGTTGCCAGTACTACTTTTAGCATTGCCAACACTAAGTTCAGTATTGCCAGCACTAGCCTTAATAGCACTACATGTTGAGTTGCCAATATCTTTTTTTGTACTGCCAGTCTTAATTTTGCCAGTCCTAAATTCGGATGTGCCAATGCTATACCTAGTATGCCAGTACTACGTTTGACATTGTCATTGTCAATACTATGTTTAGTATCACCAGTGCTTTGTTTAGCATTGCCCGTACCAATCTTTGTATTGCCAATGCTAGATTTATTGTTGCCAGTGCTAATTCTAACAGCCAGTACTACATTCAATACAACATTTAGTATTGCCAGTACTGATTTAGCATTGCCAATGCTAATGTCAGTACTGCCAATGCTACTACTTGGCATGGTCAACACTAGGTTTAGTATTGCCAACACTAAATTCCAACACTAAATTTAGTATTGCCAGTACGAAACTTAATATTGCCAGTACTATTTTTTTGAGTTGCCAACATTGAATTTAGCATTGCCAGTACTAAATTTAGACTTGCCAGGGCTAGTGTCAATCTTGCCAGTGCTAAATGTAGCATCGCCAGTACCAAAGTCAGTATTGCTAGTTCTGTTTTGATATAGCCGCTACCGATTTTAATATTGTAAGACTCTAGTTTTAGTATACCCAGTGCTATTGAGTTTTTATTGCCCCTAGTTCCTAAACTCAGTATTGGCATTGCCAATGCTGAATTTAGTACTTTTTAAGGTGTTGAGCTGTATTAATTCCATACTGACAAGCATGATTCCCGGAAGGATTTTGGCTTCGAGAAGGGGGTAGTAGTCCAGAATGAACCCTTTGTGGGCAGCACACAGGTAGAAACTTTGGAGTTGCATACGGTCGGGCAAAAAGTCCTCCGAAAACTGTTTTTTGTATTGCCAATGCTAATTGTCCAATACTAAATTTAGTATTGCCAACGTCAAATTTAGCATGGCCAATACTAATACTCTTTAGAGGTCTTTAGGCTTTGAGCTGTTTAAATGCCAGCCAACAAATATGAATCATGGAGAAACAAGAAAACAATCAAGCAAACAGAAGCAATCAAGCAAGTAAGCAAGCAAACGAACAAAGACACCATCAAACAAACACACAATAAACGACATAAACACAAACTGCACATGAGCACGCTAAACAACCACACCAGCACCGACACACATAGCGGAGCAGAGAAGCAAACAAACAAACAATCAAGCCAGCAGTCGGTCAAGAAAGCAAGCAGGCCAGCCAGCTCTTACTTACACACAGACGCACCAACAACCCCGCAAAAAAGACAGGAACCGGGTATCAGGGACCAGCGTACGTGTGCCACGCTTGCGTGCAAAACTCGGCGGCGAGGCCAAGCACCGAAGGAGTACTTTGGCCATCAGCTGGCTTTCTGGGACTCCTTGCTGAAAAAGCATGACGAGGACCGGGGCCAAGCGAGTCGATGGCGATGGCGATGGAGCGTTCAGGTGTGTGTGTGTGTGCGTGTGTGTGTGAGGCCCCCCTTTTGGTGGTTTTTAAAGGGGAACCACAAGAAAAATCAAAACACATTTTGCAGTCCATGTTTGGGGGTTGCCAAAAAAAAAGACACACCAATGTGCTCCATCGGTTCTGAGGGACGTGATTGACGAAGGTTGCAGTTTCTCAGAGTGCAGAGGCCCGAGCAAGCTTGCATGCTAGGCATAGAGCAGACAGAAGTGAAGTCCAAGCAAGTCCCCAATCACTCCTTGCAGCGTCGAAGTTGATTCCGTGCGGTTGGGGATCAGGGCTTACGTGTAGGGCGTTATAGGGCATTAACTGTCAGCGACATGCCAGGCTGACAAAAAGTGCCAGAACGCTACGAGTGAAGAGTTGGCCAAGGAAAGAGAATGCACTTCGGCAAGGTACGCTATAGCAATGTGGGTCTCTCCGCGCATGCCGCATGGTCACCATACCCAAGCCGACCAGCAGGCCCAAACGCCTGTGACAATCGCGAGAAACACCCGGCCTCATTAGTTTGTCTGCTTGAAATATGAAAATCAAAGTTGCATGGGGAGCCTTGTTCCCACTAAGTAGCAACCCGCAACTGACTTGGATAAGACGTCCCCCTGAGAGCATGGCGAATGCAAACGCAAATGAACTGTTCCCCCTTACCGACCTTTTCCTTATTGGGGCTGGAAAGCACGCTGCCGTTTAGAAGGCACCGTGTTTTTTGGAAAGCAGCCATTGTCAAGCCCCAGAAGTGAGCAAGGGTACACACGCAATTGCAGCAAGCCGCGACCAAAAAGACATTGCTTTGCTTTGGCGTTTCTAGGGCCTAGGGCCTGAGACAAGAGCATCACTTGTGGTACGGAGCTGAGGCCTGGAGCTAGCGGCAGTGCGCCAGAATTTAACCAGCGAGTGCGATGCGCAGCAGGAGACAAACTGGGCATCGGGGAAGGGCTTAGGTTGGTTGTTCAGGTGTTTGGTCAGGCCCTTGCACTGAATGCAACAGAGGCTGAGGAAAAACAGCTGCGCGCTTGCGGTGGCTGCAAACAGCTTCACATAGGTAGACGTCCACTGCTTGCCGCTATATTGGGAGCTCTAGAATGTCCTAGACATATTCTACGGGCACCGTGCAAACACAATCGGTGCAGGACAGAATGGACACTGATGCCTGCACGCAGATGCGCGGCCGAGTTGGGGCCTGCGCAGATTATGACAGGCACGGCTGCCTGAACCTGGAAGAAGGGCATTTGCATGCAAACAGCGCCTTCCACCAGGCAGTGCTTTGCGGCTTTGTGCTGTTACGCTCAGTGCACGTTTGCCTTCGTGCCTGCCACGGGTTCAAAACCGTTTCCCAAGACCTAAACAAATGTGAAACCTGCCATCACTCGGCGAGCCGTCAAGCGATGCGTGGAGAAAATTTTCCTTGGGGACACTGTGTGGGTTCTTGTAGATTTGCAGGAGGTCAACAACAGAAAGATTAGTTTACAAATGAACAACCCCGCACAAGTTGCTATCAAAACCAATCTTGGCGACACCCATCCAACAGGTGGGCAAAATGCGAAGTGGCAGGGTCTTCGACCCCCTGAGCTTTTGCCAGGTGCTACCAGCATGCAGTGGACTCGTGGCTCTACTTGCGGCTCCTTGGCCACAGGTGAGCTGTGCGTAATCAACATTGCCAGGTGACAACGGCGGGAACTGTGAAGGGATGCGTGTGCCTGGCGATGTGCTTGTTTGGGCCCAGCCGGCACAGAACGCCGTCTGAGGAAAGAGACTTGTGGTCCTGGTGGAAAAGAGCACAACTTGAAGGACCGTAGGGACCGCACGGCTGTTCGAGCAGACACCATTGATGCACCTGCCTGCAAATTCTTGGGAACGCATAGTCAGATTCGGGCTTGCAGGCATGCAAGAATGGCTGTGCGGCAGCCACTTCGCTTGGTCTGGGTGAAGCGCTCGCAAAACTTCACGGGCCCCAAGGGGACACCGAGCAAAGCCCCAATTTGCTAAACCATAGTATTTTGTTGTTATTTTACAAATCCTCGTAAAGTTGGGAACCCAAGGCGCCAGGCCAAAGGTTTTGGTGAACTTGAACCTGGAAATTGGAGTGGCGCAACAGCCTCCCGCAGATGCAACTCCATGAGCTGCTCAACTTGGAGTGCGTCCTTGAGGCAGGGCCGCCGGGCCGCCGGGCCGCCGGGCCGGGCCACGCTCAGCGCAGCCAAGAGGCAGTTTTCCCGGGAAGCCATGGACGCATATGGACGCATTTGCTGAAAAGGCCTTTGTCTAGGAGTCCAGGCTGGCGGCTGGGCCTCTTCCCAAGCCCTTTCTGGCCGGGTTTGAAGAGCCAACCTTTGTTCTAGACCTAAAAACGGTTGTTTTTAGAGACGAGACAAATCATCCGCAACATGTCAGGGCCGGAAAAGATGTTTTGTTTTTTTGTTCAAGTCAGCTATACCTACGTATTGAGATGAGGCTTGAGCTAAAGACTGCCGCCTAAGCTTTGCGGGGAGGGGGGACCCTGTCAGCCTAATATTCCTATGCCAAACACTGTCCCAACTTCTCATGCTTCACACTTCACATGACGGGGCCACGCGTTGTAAGTTGCCGCGCAAGGTGTTTGTCAGGCTTCCTTAAAGGATACATCCAAAAACCGCCTGATTGACAGGGGAATCCTATGAATCAAAACGTATTTTTTAACGGGTTCAGTTTGTGCAGTGTCCGGCAGGTAATGCAAAAGGAGCCCCAGGAGTTCTGGGCTGCTGGGAGTGCCCGCTGCAGCGATCAGAATCGCAACACGACGCGGCCTCAGCGAGCGGGGCTGAGCGAAATCTCCAGAAAGGGCAAGCAGGGTGTTTTGCGATTTTCTCAGTCTAGTTTTAGCTGATAAGGGAGGCCGCACCTTTGTAATTCTTGGCACCAGCCCTTTCAAGTTCACCTGGGCTCAAGCCTCCTGGCCCACCTTGACATGCCGACGGCGGTCTTAATCCTCGGCGCAGACCGCGGACACTTCAACTGGTCCTTGCCTTTGGCAGAGGCCCTGCTGACTGGAGTCAAAGGGGACAAGCCTGCAGTGGATCAGGTCGAGCATCCCGTTTTGCATTTGTCTATTGTTTTGTGGGATGTTGTTTGAGCAACGCTTTGGGTGACTGGACTGCCCTACCAATGACAAATATGTGTGTGTGTGTGAGCTTGGTTATTTGGTCGTTTGGCTGGTCTCAACTGTTGCGCTTGCTTCCACCTTGCGGAACACAGCTCAGACAAGGTGGACCCCGGCAAGGGGGAAAGCAGAGACAGGCTCTCACGAGGCAGGTCCTGCTTGCTCGCAAGGTTTTGGCCTCAGGTACTGGACATCAGCTCAAAGCCAGCCGTGGGTAACAGAGGCATTCCCAGCGGGTAGCGCCGTCGTCCTGGGTGGCTCTCTTGGAACCTTTCCGCGGCCGCTGGTGGAGGCAAGGAAGAGTCTGGGTAGCTTTTCTCGAAGTGATTGGGCCTTACTTTCCTCGCGATTCTGAAACTGAAGAGGATGGCAACATACTGGCACTGGCTGGTGTGCAGAGAGTTGTGTGCCTTGCCAGTCGAATCCAAAGGTTTACACATCGATCAGCAGCACCGGGGATACAGATGACGAAGGAAGAACTGCAGTGGAGCAGCACTTCGAGCATGAGGCCACGGGTTGCCCCATGACGTAGATCACACCACATACTCCCCGTTATGTTTGCGCGCCTGAAGCTGGTTTCTTACATGACTGGGCTCGGTGGCATGCATGCTTGGCATCTTTCACGCTCGAGGTGAGGGAAAGAAAGCTTGGAGCATCACTAGCTGAAGCATTTGAAGCCATCACGCCCGCCGCCCCTGTTCAAGATGCATTGCCCCTTGTCTTTTGATTTTAATGCTGCATTGGTGTGCCCAGGCCAGCTTAAGGTTGTCATGCTGCAGTGCGTAGTGCCCCGCCTTAGATGCAATATGTGTGACCAGCACCTCGGTAAGGCAGCAACGGCTCCGGAAAGACGTGGCAGTCGTTGTTTATGAGCAGGTGTGGTGTAGTTTTGCAAGGGCCGTGGCTGCTTCAGCCTCAGTGCCATCCATTTCCTTCCAGCCCTCTTACATAGCCCTCTGGCAGCATTTGTACATGCGTCCGTTTATGTCTTTCTCAATTTTGTTTGTTCTCCACAGGTTTCCCACTAGCCTCGTAGTTTCCAATAATCATCATGGGCCGGGGGTTGGCATGTCGATTTTTGCCAGGGCAGCCGCCTGTCGAGACCTGTTGTTGGCGGGAAATACGTGCCACATCAATACGGGTGTGGTTCCTTTTTTTGGGGGACCCCAAAATGGCGGGTGTTCCTTTTGGGTTTCCTTCAACACCACTTAAACAGGGGTACTTTGTCTCAGGACGTCTTCCGAATGCATGCTGGAGTTCCGCCTAGCTGCTTTCAAGATGACTATGACCTTGGCCCGGAGGAGATGGTATACACGCTGGCAACCTGCCACTTGGCATCTTGACTCCACATGCTCCGGCAGAACCAAGAAGCTGGGAGGCTGTGAGGCAATTTAAGTCTTCGGAGTCATTTTTCGGGAACATGTGACTTGACGAAGAAATTTATGAAGGGTCTTCCACCCTGCTCTTTCTGAGTCCATGCATGTTTGCCTGGCCCAGTCAATGTCCTTTCACATCGCCCTGCCTAACAAGTCTAAAGCCAAAACTCCGAAGTTGTTTAGATGACTTCTGTTCAAATTTCCAAAAGTTGGCTGCAGTACAAGCATGAACGCATGGCTAAAGCACCAAGTGCGGCATTCGGTTACAGCTGGCATTGGCAGTGACGAGCCAATATTGCCCGACAAAATGCAGTCTATGCAAAGCAGGAAGCAAGTCGGAGTGATCAGCATATCCAAAGCGAATGCAATCGCCATGGAACATCATGGAACCATTGGCTGTTACAGCGGCAAGTGGCTACATGTTAACAGCAAGACCTTGGACATAATGGACCATTGTGGCCCCATGTGATTTCTGGCTTTCGCACCTGATCTGCGATTTGTTTGCGTCACGGAAATCCCAAGGCCTCCGTAGGGCTGCCCCAGTTCCAGCCGGCAGGCGTGCAGTGGGCGCCATACTGCCCCTGTCCTTTGGCTCGGATGGTGGGGTCGTTGAACTCATCATTAGCGATTTTCAAGGCACTAAATAGGAAGTGGCGTGCCGCAGCCACTGAAGAGGGTTCCGCGCACCGCACGTGCAGGAGCATGCGCAGTGTTGCAGTGAACCGCAGGTGCGACTTGTCACAGCATCTTTCTATCATTTCACACTGAAGTCTTGAACCCATCGTTGGCCATCTCACCGCAGACAAATCTTCATGCGAGCCGCAGATAAATCAAGACGACTACAATAAAACGAAGCATCATGAATTCCCCAAATGACCCTGGTCATGGAAGCAACCATACGCCTCACTGTCATAGCTAAGCCTGGACACAAGCTAAGGTGGCCGTATTTCTGCAAATCCCTTTGCATTGGGCAATGTGGAATGGGCAACTCGTTCCGGAAGGCTGGGGGTCGGCCCAGGAAAAGCCGGGCGGATGCTTTGCCCAATGAGCTGATGGAGTGGCTGGCGAGCGAATTGCCCGTTGTGCAGCCGGCCTTGCAATGAGGGTGCGGCAACTTCCATGCGAGGAGTTCCTGTCTTGCAGTACGTCCATGCGGGCCTAGCACCAGAACATGGCCGAGTTTTGGTGTGACCGGATTGCCCCTTAGACCTCTAAACAAACAGCATTGCCATGAAATATACCGAAGGTCATCGAACTTTTGCTCTCGGTGGCTTGCAGCAACCCAGCTTAGGAACAGTGTATTGTTTTCCGATTGTACCATTTGTTTGACTTGGACAGGGCTTGCAGGGGTGAACCATGGCGCATTCAGTTGCATGCAAAGGCGACCATGCGTCACCAATTGACCCCCTGCCGGGGCCAACCGACTAACGAACCGAGAATTGCAGAGCCTCTCCGGGTCAGGGTTGTCCAAGATTGTCCAAGTTGGACAGATGTCCAATTCTGTTTCCCTCTTGTCAACATCACCTTTTGGTTGCCAGTTTAAAGTGAGTTTCCTGGTGGGGTGATGTTTGACTCAGTTGCCCAAAGCCATTTGACCTTGTGGTTCACTTCTGGTCCACTGCTAGTAAAGGTCCCAAAAGGGCAACCTTTCCTTTTTTGGTCCTTTGGCCAACCGAGGGGAAACACAGCGAGTCCTGGGAAAAGGTTTGACTCGAGGTATTGCTCCCTGGGCAGCCACATGTTGTCCAGCACGCTGGCGCCTGGGAGTTTGAGCCAGCTGGTCAAGGCATCAGACCTTGCTTCGCCATTTCGCCAGAACTTGATGCCTTTGTATCCCGGATCCCCTTTAAAATGGAATTGGGGGACTGGGAAGACCCCTGGAGCCATTCATGGTTCCATTTACCCTTTTATGGAGAAGGCTAGAGAAATGGAATTGGGGGACCCACCCCCGTTCCCCAGAAGGTAGGGGGGACTGTTTTGATGGTACCCTTTTTGATTGCTCCAAACCCACGTTTTGTTGTTGAAAATTGGTCCCGGGGTCAAAAAAGGATGTTTTATCATTTTTAAACCAATTTTCCACACTAACTGCGTCTTTGGAGCACCCAATGGGCCTCCGCTATCCCCACACCTGAGTGAATGGGAGGGGGGGCCTCGTGGTGAGTTTACCCGTGGCTAACTGCGTATTGGCAACGAAGATCCCAAGGGTGCGTTGATTCCCGAGTTGGTTTCTCACAGGATATGGCGGAAGCTTGGCACGTGGGTCTCCTCAGAAAAAATGCGAGATTCAAAGGTTGACTAAACTGAAACAGAATCTGAGTGTATGGGTCTGTCCATTTTTGTGGGCACTCTTGGGGTGCCTGAGTTGCAATCGCTTGGGCAGTGGGCTGTGAGCAGTTTCATGTGCTGATCCAGGGGAATGGGCACGGGCAGCTGTAGCCTGCATTCTTACCCTGTGAGGGGGTGCTGGACGCTGGATGCAAGCTTCTCATGGTGCTCAGCGAATCTGCCCAGCGCACAGCCATGACTGACTCGACCTTTGCAGAGTATGTGGAGAAGCCTGGAAGACCCTAGGCTCTGACAGCAGTTTCTTTTGGACATTTCTGCTTTAATGGTGTTGTTTGCTTTAACATTCTTTGGTGGCGGTGTTGCGGGGCATGGAAGCAGGGAGTGGCATCAGGCTTGCGGATAGAAACGTGGGTCAACCAGCCGAAGGTGCTCGCGCACCCTGGGATTCAAGTGTTTGTCAGTCATTGCGGCGCGAATTCCGTTCATGAGTGCCTTGCGTGCCTTGGCTGTTCTAACCTCAGCTTGTGTTCTCCTCTTCTCAGAAGGGAACGATCTTCCTGACAATTCATGCTTGGCTTGTTTGTATCCTGGCTGACTGAGAGCCAAGGCAGGGCATTCCCATTGTGGCAATGCCTTTTTTCGACGACCAGTACTACAATGCAGCTGCACTTGTACAAGCTGGCGCGGGCTTCCGGGTCCAGAAGCGGCCAATCACTGCGGGGCAGGCGGGTTCCACATGGGGAATCCAGGCGTGTCAGATGTGGGGAGTGAGCAGAAGCAGGATTGCCTGCAGCACCATTGGATTGCAACAGAGACCTCCCACAGGAAGCCCATGACCACTCGCAACATCAATGCCTATTCAGGCAGTGCCTGGGAACCCTCAGCTTGACACTGCCAAATTGCCAGGGGCTGGAGTCCAGCGATTTTCACGCTCAGTTGTCCATGGATCCAACAAACAGCTGGCCATCCGATGAAAGTGTCAAGCCGCCTGAAGCAATTTGCATATCCCGGTGCCAGTTCTTCCGGTTGCATCTAGAATCTAGACCATGGTGCAACCCCCAACGTTTTCATGAGCATGTTCAGCCGTTCAGCGTGCGGGATGCTGTCCATGAGCCAAGCTCGGCAGGTGACAGCAGCAGTCAAGGCCATGCTGACATCAGAAGCGAAAGCAGCAGCCAAGATTCTGCAGAAGGAGCTGCTGGCAGAGGACAGGGTGACGGAGAGGCCAACAAACACAAACATCTCAGAGGCACTTGCCTGTGCCAGAACTATGCAAAGTCACTCTCGGAGCGATGCGTAGGACAGGGGAAGCCTTGAACTGAAGCTTTGCTTCGCGAGGAAAAACAAAAACCACATGGTCGACCTGATCTAAAGAAAGCTATGCTTCATTTGTGTCAGTCACGGCTTGTGCGATATCAGTGATTAAAGTTCAAAAGCAGCAGGCGAGCATCCTGCAAAGGCGCACGTTGGAGCTGGCAGAATGAACCCAAGCACACAGCGGCAATGTGCCGCAACCTTGTGACGGTTGTTGCAGGACTTGTTCGGCCTTGTCAGTTTTGAGTGGTTTCAGCTGCTGTACGCCTACGTAACCTCCCCATAGCGTGTTGCCTGTAGCATTTCGTCCCCATAGCCTCTCCGTAGTTTTGCCAGAGTCTTGACATTCCAGTCTGCAGTTCGCCCGTAGTTTCCACCATTTGAGCTGCTTTTGTCCTATGCCCCACAGGTCCAGGTGCAAAGAGTTGAGATGCTGGGCATTTTGCCAGGAAGGAACTGAAGCAGCGGTGCAGCTGGTCACTGCGCTTATCCAAGAGAGCCAAGAGGTGTGCAGCTGAACCTGACCCTCAGCTTGGAGATTTCCAGGCGCGCTGACAATCAGATTCATCAGAAGCGCGCCTTTGGCCTGATCAGCGATGGAATTGCAGATTTCCCATGTGGTGACACACTGAAGTTCGTGTGGCCGTGTCCCTGACAGGCCTTTGTAAAGGCTGCTTGCAGGATCGCAAGTGAGACTTGCACGACCAGTCACAGAGCTGACTTTACGTTTGTGCTTGAACCCACAGGGATCCTTGTTGTACAGGTACGTGCACAATCGCAAGTATGCTTGGTGGAAAAGCCAGATCTTATGCTCAGAAGGTACAGGTTTTGATTTGAGCACTTGCAATTGGTGTCATCCTGGTCCCGTTTTTTGAAGTGTTGCAAGCGGCACCAGATGGCACAGTTGCCACGCCCGCCTTTCACATTTGTGACGCAGCTCAGCCACGACCTTGGACAGTTGTTTTCCGATGTTCCTTTTCCATGGGGATCCTTGAAGTTTCGCTTCACAGGCTGTTCAGCTCAAGTTGTTGGCCTCGAAGTTTTGTCATGTCAGAAGAGCTAGCTGCTCCGTCGGAGACCTCGCGCTCAGAGCTCGATGCTCAGCTGGAGCCCGGGCACTCGCGCTCAAGGCGCGAGAACCGGGCCCGCAACGTGGAGATCGCCGGGGGCTTCTTTCGGAACGCCTCCAGAATTGGCACGGAGAAGGTGTCAACCCAGGAAATCTCCGCCCCGGTTGGCCGCTTGCGCTGGCTTCTTCAGACCTACGCCTTTGCCAATTTCATGGGCGTCGTAGTTTTTGCGGATGGCATCTGCACCTGCGCCGAAATCAATTCCAGAGCTGCAAGGACACCGGTGGAACCAATTTACGCAACGCTGGCAGATGTCTGCTTGACGCTCTACACGCTGGAAATCATGGCCCGAACGTATGTGTTCGGAAGAGAAATACTCTCAGACTGGGTGACAGCAATGGACTTGGCTGTTGCGACTCCGCTGGAAAAGTGGATTGCTGTCTAGAAATTTGATTTGAGTTCCTGAGCATTCCTGCCGTAAAAGGCGAGACATGTGAAACTACTAGGTCTTGTCAGATATGTTCTGGAGTGCTTTTTCTCTACAGTTATGTGATGTGATGTGCATCATTTTGCCAAACCCCTGGCAGATCTAGAGCTCACTTGCCTAAGGTTATTTGCGGATGGGTGGAAGTCATACTTAACGCCGTGGCCGCAGACAGTTTCGTACGCGTTAGCATGCTGAGAGCAGTGCGCTTGGTCCGAATCTTGCGGCCAATCCGGCTGCTCAAACGCATTCGTATGCTGCGGGAGCTCCACAAGCTGACGATCATGATGCTTGGCAAAGGGGGAGAGCTTTGCTATTTGACGCTTCGCAGGAAGAGTTGCAGATGGTCGAGGCATTTGAGTGTCACTGAGGATGGCGACTTGCTTTCGCACTTTGCTGTGGAGCTTCTTGCTGTGCTTCGTAGTGATGACGGGCTGGGCGATGCTGATGGTTGAGGCAGGTGGTTTATGTTTGTGTTTGGCTTGTGCCTGGAAGTTCGCAGGACGAATTATGGCGCATGCAGGTGTCCTTTGCAACCATCATTCGCTAGTTGTTACACAATGATACACCCGGGTTTCAGAGTTGCACGAAAGCTGGTTCCAGGTGGTGTACCCCGTGGTGCGGGAACTCAACGAGAAGCAGGGCCTCTTCGAAGACTGCCCGCAGTGTATGACAGCGACATCTTCGGTGGCTCACTTGACCAAAGCCGACCTTTTGACCTTTTGGTTTCCATTTTTGGGTTCATATCTTGCCATGGGGTCCACTTTTAGCGAATGTTCCAAAAGCTGATCACCTTTTGCTTCTGATGCGTTTGGCAAGTGAGGTGATGGAGGCCAACTTGCTTCTCTTCAAAACCGTCATTGCAGGGGACAGCTGGGGTGAGCTCGCCGTCCCAGTCATCCAGGCGCACCCGGCCACAGCTTTCATTTTTATTGGCTCTTTGCTGACGCTTGTCTTCGGCGTGCTCAATCTAATTGCCGCTGAGCTGATCGCATTGTGTCGCGAGCCGGCCAAACTCGACATGTTGCAGCGACACCCTGTTGCAGAAGTCGATGCGTTTGTGTTTCAACGTGTGTATTCCGTTGGATTTCGATTTCAGGGAAGTCGGCTCACCCACCATTCAGGGTCCGCACCTGCTGCAGTTTGCTTGCGCGGCTGTGCTTGCGTAGCTGCTCTTACACATCTCTGCATCTCTGCTTGCGCAGCGGCTCTTGCAAATCTTTGCTTGCGCATCTATGCTGGCTAATCTGTGCTTGCGCAGCTCTGCCCGCTTTGCCCTATTCAACTTGCCTTGGCAAATCGGGAGTCGCCCTTTTTATCCCCAACATCGGTTGGTGGACACTTCTGAGTCCGTGGTGTGTGAGATTGTACTGGAATTCTCCAACTTAGTGTATTATTTCTTGCTGCATCGCCCTCTCAGTCGGTACGATGCAGTCACGCCTGGGCTCCGACATCCTCTAGGAGCTCAAGAAATGGCAATACTCAGTGTTTTCAGATTGGGGGGGGGGCCCCTCAAAAGTCAAACCTCAAGCAGACAGGATGGCAATCCCTGTCACGCGCCATCGAAACCCAGTTTAGAAACAAGGGGGGGAAAAAGAAGGCCATCATCTCCCGAGCCATTCCAAGCTTCTACATGCAGAGCAGGTTCTCAGGACGGCAATCCCTGTCATGCGCCAACATACACCCAAGTAAAGCGAGAAAAAACCAAAGGGCCCTAAGTCACTACAAGGCTCAGCAGACAAAACTGGATGCCACAGGAGCCCTCTGCAGGTCCAAAGAATTCTCTGCAGCTCAAACCTGTGCGATCCAAAATCAAAAACTGTCCCTTTCCAAACGGCAAGACGGAGCACCCTGAATTCGCCAAAGTGAGCCACTGCAGGCCCACAGGGTGGAAAATCACATGCCAGCGCCAGCGCCGGGTTTTAGTCCAGCGTCCCACAAGCAACCTTGCAGCCAAGACTGGATATCAGAAAAAAGTAAGGCGTCAGGGCGGCTAGATTTTTTGGGAACCCAAGTGGAAGCCCACAGGGTAGCCTGCTTCCTAACATAGGATTTGGGGTATCCGGCCCTAAGGGTCAAGGTCGCAAAAGCTTCCCAGAAAGCCTCGGCGCGCGCAGCACGGTTTGAGGAGGAGTAGTACGCTCGACAAAGCAAGCCCCGGACAGCGTTTGTGCGCTGCTAAAACGTCATCCCAGAGCACCATGGCATCAAAGGGAAATTATGAGCATGACTGTGCAGAAAGCCCTCGAGGGCCCAGCATTTGTGGCTTGACCGACAACTGTCCACCTGGCCACGTGCACAAAAAACATACAAATGTACTTGGATCATAGTTTTCCACAATCATGGTCCCGGCTTGAAACCTCCTGCGGCCAAAAACATGCGCCAGTCATCCCGGTACGAAATGTCCAGCGGCGCCGCGCAAGTGTATCAGCTTGCACCGCGGCCCTGGAAACGAAACGCAATTTGGCGAATTGGCTGCAGACAGACCTAAGAAACGCTCCCTGTACCATTTCCATAAACGTAGGAAGGCAAAGCTCAAGGCATCTCCGCTCCCTACCAATGTACCCTTAAAATGAAGTTAGCCTCTGCAAATTGATAGCCTCGAGGGGAACGTATGTCTAACCAGGGTCATCACATTTCCCGAGCATGCCTTTGGTGCAGGCGCGCTTCGGTACCCATGTGTACAACGTCGCCAGCTGAAGGAAAGTCGTTCACTATGTGAGCTGGACAAGCGCCCAGCAACACGTTGTGGCGCGCTTGTTGGTCATCAGTCGCCATTTTAGGCTGGGCTTCCACTTCGGGAGCACCGACACAGTACCGATCTGCCAAAGAGACCTGGAACAGTAGAAAAGGTTTTGGGCTGCAGGGCTGCAGGGCTGCAGATGGTCCTCCAAGCCCGGAACATTAGCCATGCTACTTAGGGCAGAACAAATGACCCGCTCGTCTGCTGCCGGCCCACAATGTTAGGCGCAGCAGTGGCAGCCGGAAAGCCCAGCAGCTGAAAGGCAAATCCAAAGATCAGCTTTGGGTCAAAAACACTCACAAACAAGTCGCCAAGCCACGCCCTTGCCGCAGCAACCCATGAAAACGGGGGAATGAAACGCGGCGCGGACGAGGCTAAAACCCATAACTGGTCTACACAACTATTCATGGCAGCTTCAGCTGCTGCATCCTCATGCGGAACACGGCAACGCTGCCGGAGATTACGAAAATTCCGTACAACCGCTGCCACATCTTTTTACCGAGGTGTCGGAAAGACTTGCAGGCAATTTGGCAACAAGACTGCAGCTCTTCAGGTGCCCGCGGACGCGGCCACGTGCTCTTGGCGTCGGCCAAGACGGGGAGTCAAGCAAAAGGTCTCTGCAGCTACATGGCAGGCGTGATTTCCCTGCAAGCCAGCCCTGCAAACGGTCAGAAGTGGAAAGAACATCTTTCAGCTTCTTAGCTGAATGGGAAAGCACAAGTCCCGGCGCCTGCGACAGATACGCCGTAAAATGGCCAGGCCGCGCCGTCTGCGCCATCCCTCTTCAAACTTGTCTATACGATAAGCAACATTAGTCCAGGCTCCAGCCAGCGCAGCAGCCGCGTGTGCTGGAAACCTATGGCCGCCCAAAGCTGCCACGGTGACGTGCAAACCGTTTTTCCACTGCAATCTTCGCACACTTGGCGCGAGGCGAGGGGTCTGCTTTTCAACTCGCGTTCGCGAAGGCGGCAAAGACGAGGCATGCCAAAAATGCGGAACCCAGACTGTGTGGCCGCCCTTCGCCCGGCTGTGTTTGCCACCACGCTGAGCACATGTGGCGGGTTCAAGGTTCCTAAAGCATTGATCAAGACTTTTTCGGCAACAAGCCGCTTCTGCCGGCTTTCTTCAGCAACGACAACAGCTCAAGGCGGCCAGAAAATCACTCGTAGAATGACAGCACATAGGAGTAAAAATGCTGTTGGGTGCATCCGTCTTCGTCCTGCAGTGCTCTTGGAAACGCCGCTTGCATATGTGACCAAACCGTGCTTGCAAATCCTGATTGGGAAAGGGAAGACTAAGTACACACAAGGCACGGCCCAAAGCCGACCCCCCCAGTTTCCCAGAGGTCATGGCCAATCCGCCGCAGCAGCATCAGACTCCGCCTTGGCACTGAAGTCACATTAGAAACAGACTACCGCCAACTCTCACAAAAAACCTTATTTTCGTGCCAACTGGATGGCAAGTTGAAAGTGCATAATCTCAGCAACAGGCCCGAAGGGCCTCAGCGAGACCCAAGCAGGGCAACACTCGCATGATCTCAGAAGCCCCCCATTGCCTGCAGCGGCGGCAGTGTCTTCAAAGCGTGCTCAGCAGAGGTGTTTTGGCAAATGGCAAACCGCTGCAAGCGCGTGTCTTGGGCAAGTTGAGGTTGGCTGTGTCAACATCAACCCGACGCTTGACCCAGGTGGCGTAGTCCTCCTCAACGGATTGAGCCGAGACACCCGGCTTAGGCAAGGGTGGAAGGCGTTTGCATGCTTACTTGCTTTCGGCGCGTGACACTTGGACGGCATTTTCTCGAGAACAGTGGCCCAAGAAAAAGACCTTGATTTTTTCCGGAGAATTCCCGTGCCATGGCTGACAGTAGGCGTAAGGTGCATCCCGGCAGCCGGGAGTCAAGCCAGCCCAGTCCTGCCGTCTTCGTCCAGCCTGTTCCGCCTGGTACTTGGCGTCCGGACTTGAGTGCCAATCCGGTTGCTTGGCAGTTGGGTCTAGCGGGCACCCAAGCCGCCGTCACAGGTTCAGCTCACCCACTTGCCACGAGGTGGCTCAGATTGTGCTGCAGCAGCAGGTTCAAGAGCTCCCTTGACTGAGTACCGCGCTGTGGCTTTTCAGGCCTTTCTGAATGACATCCGGCGAGAGCGCCTGAAGCCGCTTGGCCAGCCGCCGCCTCCTTCTGTCAAGAAGAGGGGTCCAAGTGCGTACCCATGTCCCTCACAAGAGAGGCATTTCTGGGACATCTTTCATCGCATCCCCATGCGAGCACAGACCCCGTCAAATGGAAGTCCGTCCCGCGGCACTTGGATTTTGCCCGGAGGAGTCAAGGGTGGGCGGACTGCTCGTGATGTTGAGTGGTCTTCAGGAGCGTTGGTTGGCGCCCCTTCCACTGCACCGGTTGCCGATGCCACTGCTGATCCCAGCTCCCATAGCACGAGCTCCACGTGCCTAACTTGCTACTGCTGGAACCAGCGTACGCAATGCCCATACCATCAGGTAAGGGACACCGCAGTATGAGGCAGGGAGACGCAACTTCCAAGCAGCCAAAAGGCCTACACCAGGGTCCAACATACCAAACTCCCTGGGTCCTGTCACAAGGAGGGGCCAAGCAAAACCTTGGCTGGTGGGACACTTGTGAGTCTGCGGTGTGTGAGATTGTACTGGATTTCTCCAACTTGGCGTATCATTTCTTGCTGCCCTCTCAGTCGGTACGATGCAGTCACCCCTGGACTCCGACATCCTCGAGGAGCTCAAGAAATGGCATTCATGTTGCAAAGCAACCCGAAAACAGTTTCAAAGGCGCACGCCTGACCTGCATTTGTTTACTTTACATGTTGCGACTCACAACTGTGCATGGTTTGCACGCTGCGTCCCATTGGCGTTTGCGACTGCCCTCTGTGTTTTTTCTGTTCATTTCGCTTGCAGCGCCCCCATAGAGTTTGCACCTTGCAGGCTGCTTTCTGCGGCGCGCGAACAAACACATCCCTGATACGCGTGTCCCCAGTGGGGTTTCCAACTAGGTGCACTGACTTGATTGACTTCCCGAATGCGGAGCGTCCCATGCAGATCCCCGCTTGGTTTGGTGTGCGCGGAGACCATGTTGCAGGTCTCAAGATTGGTTCGTTACGACCTGAAACACTTTTGACAGACACGCGTCCCTCTTTTTGCTAGCAAGAAAATTGTTGGGTCCATCACCCAGCTGCGGTGCCTTTGCTTCGCCTAGGTAGCGGTGGTTGTGGACACTTTTGCAGACGCCCGCCTGAATGATGTGGAGGCGCTGGCTGAGGAGATCGAGGATGAAATAGACCATGACGCTTGGTTTTTTAGGTTGCTACGAAGGCCCCCGCTTCTTCCGACGTAGATCTTCATGCTGAACTCCAAGTGCTCCACCGCCTCCGCCAGAATGATGATTGGCTTGCCTCCTTGCATCCGAGGGTAGTTCCACCGTTGGAGCGATGAAAAAGGTTCAAAACCTGGTTGTGTTGCGATTGAAAGGGGGTGGTCATAAGGGTCCCACGCGTAAGGAAAACACGTGGCGGCGTAAGGCCGCGCAATCGTTTTTTCGAGGAAAGTTTGTCGCGTAAGCGGTTTGGATTGTTTTGGTGGCCATTTGGCAGTGGCAGGGGCCTAGACACCCCAAACTTGCTGCTGATGCGTTTTGGGGCAACTGGGGAAAACGCAAGAACGAATTAGTGCGCGCCGATAATTCGTTTTTGGTTTTGGGCACCTGGAATGTCTTGGTAGGGGCTCAAACACCCAACAATGGAAATGTCACTCATGCCTCTTTGAGGCTAGTTAGCTGGCAAAACATTGCTGGGGTGTGGAAAACACAAAAACGAATTAGTGCGTGCCGCTAATTCTTTTTTGGTTTTGGGCGCCTGGAATGTCTTGCTTGGGGCTCAAAAACCCAAAAACGGAGTTAGTGCATGTCACTAATGCTTCTTTCAGGCCAGTTAGCTGGTAAAACGTGGCTGGGGAGTGAAAGGCGCAAAACCGAATTAGTGCGTGCCGCTAATTCGTTTTTGCTGGAATGTCTTGTTAGGGGCTCAAACACCCAAAAACGGAGTTAGTGCATGTCACTAATGGGTCTTTGAGGCTAGTTAGCTAGTAAAACGTGGCTGGGGAGTGGAAGACACAAAAACGAATTAGTGCGCGCCACCAATTCGTTTTTTGTTCTGAGCACCTGGAATGTCTTGGTGGGGGCTCAAACACCCAACAATGGAATTAGTGCATGTCACCATGCCTCTTTGAGGCTAGTTGGCTGGTACTTAAAACGTGGCTGCGTGCCGCTAATGTTTTGTTAGGGGCTCAAACACCCAAAAACGGAGTTAGTGCAGGTCACTAATGCTTCTTTGAGGATAATTAGCTGGTAAAACGTGGCTGGGGAGTGGAAAGCACAAAAAGGAATTAGTGCGTGCCGCTAATTCGTTTTTGGTTTTGTGCATTTGGAAGGCCGTTTTGTTCCTGGTTTTTGGGGGTTCAGCTCCGCGCGGCGCAGCTGTGTGGCACAATTGGCTGGCGCAGGCTTTTGGCTGCGGGGGTCCGGAAAGGTTTCGGGCTCGAAACCCCCCAGCTTATATAAATGCAAGCGCGTAAGAAAACCAGTATTGCGCGTAAGCTCGCCCAAGCACCTTGGCGTAAGAGTTCCTTACCTAGATTTGAACGAGACCTTTTGAACGCCGCTCAAATGAGCTTTCATGCAGTGGGTTGACAAAATCCGGCACCAGTTAGTTGGTAGGTGGTTTGTCTCGGTCCTTTCGGGGCTTTATCAATCCCAACTGCTGCACTTTGGGCTTTCCAGATACATCTTATGTCACTTCTCAACAAGCTGAGTAACCTGGACATTGACAGCCGCAGTGTTGCATGGCTGCGGGCTGGGCCTTCTTTCGGACTGGGACTTTCGTTTTTTTGCCCACACAACGCCTCGACGGTGGCGCCACCTTTCCAATCGATCAGTAGCAAGAGTGCAGCGCATGCGTTTGCAACGGAAAGCCGTGCTACCGCTTTAGCGTCTGTTCTTCTGAGGGTCTCAGCCTTTCAGGTTCAATCGGGATCGGGCAATCAGGGGGTTGTTTACTAGATTGTGCTGCGGAGACCTCTGCTCCAGTTCTTGATCTTATCCCAGCCGTTCTCCACGCTGTCGTCCTTGCATCTCTCGCCTTCACCGTTTGTTCCTTGTTTTGCTCGTTTGTTGTTCAGCGGCATCATCTGTGTTCAGCTGATTTCCTGCTACACGCGGCCGACCACCATAGTCCATAGGGCAAGCTCTGCATCTTTGCAAACCACTTGTAACTTACGCTCATGTCCACTAACACGGAACCTAACTGAGGGGTCCTGGAAGATTACTGTCCTCTAAAATGGACCCTCGGTGGGCTCTGCGTTGCTTTCCTTTGCAAGGATAAGAAGAACTTAGAGAAGCTCTTCAAGCGCATCGACAAAGAGGGAAGCGGACAGCTGACTGTGGAGGGGCTTAAAGATGCTGCCCGCAATGATGCGTTATTTCAAAGTCGCCTTCGAGTCATGGACATTGACGAGTGGCTTGGACACTGGGGGGTGGAGGCGATGAAAAGGCCGTTGAAAAGGCCCTTGAAAAGGCCGTTGCCTTGTGTGATTGCTTTTGTTCAACAAATGTATTTTGAGGCTTTTTGGGCAGCATAGGAATGATCTGCAGCAGCTGTTTCAAATGATCGACAAGGACCAGTCTGGCACGATTGAAGTGTCTGAATTCATCGGGCCGCTAAGTCGGTGGGCGTATGATTCCAAGACGGTGCCTGAACTGCAGGGTGGAATGGTGTGAAGGGCTGGGAGCAGGTTCAACTACAAGCGCTGGAAAGCAAGTTCTTTCAAGCAAAGCTGATTACCGGAACTGTCTTGCTGTTTACCAACGTCAGCTTAAAAGTGTTATGAATTGGCGGAGGCAAGTCGGCTGTTTGCAAGCTTCTCCAGATCAAGGCCACTCGTCTCAGTATATTTGAGTTAGCGAGTCTTTCAACACAGACATGGATGTAATCTCTCAGAAGTCTTTAATCAAGAAGAAGGCAGCAAGGCACGGCTCCCGAATTCAGATTAGCATTTTTCAAACCTAAAGGACCCACTTGAAACTGAGCACTGCCAGAATTTTGACATGCTCGTTGAATGTCCAGGCATCCCGTAACAACAACAGCAACGCCACTGCGGTGCAAAGCAGCGTTGAAAAATTTTGGGAACTTGCCAGTGCAGGGCCCTAGGGGAATGTACGTGTTTTGACTCTGCATTGTGAACGGCGCATCAAGAAGACTTCATCGAAACCCCTGGCAGCGGGCGCTGCCCCAACACCATGTCCGGAGCTTCAACCATGCTCCCTCTTAGCGACATTTCCAACTTTGGCGGAGCAAGTTGGGTTGAGGGAGCTTTTCCGATTGAACTGGAGTTCCCTTGCGCAGTGAACGCAGCGTTGGTGGAGAGACCATGAGGGATCTACTGGAACATGCTTGCACGAGAGCTGTATCAGGCGGCGAACATTGACAGTCCAGTTGAAGACACGCCAAAGCCCCACACATTGCAAACGTTCTCAAAAAGACACGAGACTCTTCTCCTAGGCTCCGCGATTCATCAAGTACAATTTGCTGCAGACCATGAGCTTGCAGGAGGACCTCTTTGATTTTACTGCAGACGGGTTCATGGACTTAAACAACAAGCTCGACTTTCTGGCGAACAAAGTGCAGATTTGGAGCTTGGCCCGGCGCGCCCAACTACTTTCATCTCACAGCACTTTCGATCACGGCGCGGCGGAGCCAGCCGTGCAGAAAGCGTGCAGCACGGAGGCCTGTGCCTTGAAAGCTGGAAGCGAGTCCTTTCAGCATTGTACCATGATGTACCATGCATTTTGTATTTGTTTAAGTTTCGGAATAGGCAGTCGGAATTGCGGGGAGTCGGCAATGCAGGTAGGCAGATTGGAGCTTGGCCTTTAGCCCAGCTGCGAGTCTTGGTTTCTGCCAGGTATAGCCAATTCCGGCCCCAACTTCACACTGCTCATGGTTTTTCAGCGTTCTGCGTTTTCTTCTTGCTTTTTTGTTTGATTGCCCTCTAGGAGGCGGACTTGGAGTTTCCAGACATCGCAGAGTCTCAGACTTGCCCCATCCAGCTGAAGTCAATGAATGGAACCCAGAGCAGTGAAGTCGACTCGGCCATCGCCGATGTGCTGGCCAAGATTGAGGCCAAGATGGAGCTGGTCCTCGCGGAGGCAGGGCACAGAGCTGGCTGCGAACCGTGACCTGCAGTATATATTATATTATGTTCATTTGCGTCCAAGATTGCCTCCCCGCCTCACTTTCATGAGTAGAATGACGCTGGGGGAGACTGTCTCCCCCGAAGAAGTGTTTCAAGGCGTCTTCAGATTGGCTTTCCCTGAGGTCCGGGGTCGGGCGAGCAAGGAGCCCACCCTGAGCAGAGAGTCCTCCATGCGATTTCGGTCGCACCGCGGACGACCCCGGCCTCGGATCCGGCTGGGTTTCAATGAGGCGGCCTTTCAGAACATGTATTTGGACGCTTGCAATATTTAAGGCTGAATGCTCCCGTGCCTGCTCCCAGCAAGCATGGAGCAGCACAGAACACACTCAGACCTTGGCTGGTGTTGGATTGGTGTAAGGGTTCATTCGGGTTCATTCGGGTTCATTCCTGAATTGTGGGCGTTTCTTTTGCTGCGCACGTTGTTGCACAGCAAACGGTGCTATGTTTGCATCATGGCAATTGATGAAGTGGACCATTGCTTCCTAAATTTGCAGTTGCACTTCACCAACTTGAAACCTGTACCAGTCATGATTCAACTGATGCGACTGCTTGTGATCATGATGTGGCCCGGAACGCTGAGGAACCGGATGGCAAGAGCCTGGGCCCCTCCCGAGCATCACATTCACCCACTTCAACTCCCGTGGCATCCTGGATCGGCCTCAAGCCATTTGGCTTAGGGATAGGCAGATGGCCCGCTGGCAGTCGTTCTCTTGCTGAGTCGCGAACCCCGCCGGCGCCGCGGCCGCCGCAGCCTCATTTGTCGGCCGGACATGATGGACAACTGGTGCTCGACATGTGATTTTTTTGCATAGATAGTTTGAGCCTGCTAATTGCTGCTAAGCAGCACCAGGCCTTTCAGGATCGGGTTTTCAAGGCTGAGTGCAAGCACACTGATCAGTGCTCCTAACATGGTCGCAACTCGACGCAGATATTTTTGGTACAGGGTGAGCATGATTGGACGCTTGGATCACTGATCATTTCAAGTGCCACGAAAAGGCACCGCACAGAGCTTGCAATGACCGGCCTGTCAACGCGCTGGCGGCAACCTGCCCGCCCTCACAGGCTTAGAACTTGATTGAAGCCAACTTAAGTCACTGAAGGCTGGGAGGCTGGTTTCAGCCTTTTTGACTATATATATATAGATTGAGTAGATCAGAACATTCCATGCACGTGTACACGGTATTGTGCGGAAAAGGGCAGAATGTGTTTTCGGGATGATGGTTCTTCTGCCAGAAGGTGGCTTCCAACTTGCTTTTCAGGCCTGTGCGATTGCGTTTCTCTGAGCATTTCGTCGTTGATTCTTGGTTCATCTCTGTCTTTCTCGATGTTTGTTTGTCGTGTTTGCGTTTCCGTTTGTGCCTGTGTGCTGGCAAATGCGCCCTGTCCATCATTGGTGTGCGTATGTGCTGAGTTCTGGGCTTATCCCCAAATTGACAAGAAGGGATAAGTCGGCATGATCGAAGGAGACGGGAACCAGCACACACACACACACACACGCATCAAATAGGACCATGACAGTGTGCGGTTGCGGGTGCTTTTGCGACCCAAAGCCTCAAAGCCTATGCCAAGGAGTTCAATGAAGGTGGAGTTCTGCGTGCAGGCTCAGCCAAAGAAGCTCACGCTGTCTGACTGCGCAGCTTGTTCTAAAGAGGGCAGCAGAGGCCATGTGACCTTCTCTGCCGAGTTTGGTGTGGTTGTTGTGTGGGCGCTCGCGCATTTTGTGTGGGTGTTGTGTGGGTTTTGTGAGTTGCAAGCCTGGGTGGGTGGGCTCCAGCACAACAACAATGCGTGATACTTTCGCAAGCTCTCCGGCGACCAAAGCAAAAGTCAGCGGAATGAGCCGGAGGCTCTAAAGGTTCAGGAGGCGCAACATGTCCCAATTCAAGCAGCTGTAAATCAAGCATCCAACTTGCGGCATATGGTGCTTCCGACGATCTGAAGCCAACTTGAGTTAATGGCCTGGCCTTGCCCGCGTGCTTTGCACAGAAAGCTGGTGGCTTGGCCCCGAGGAACCACAAAAACAAAACATATTCGTCTACAAACAGAACCACCACAAAAATCGCCCTTCTTTTGCAACAAAAGGAAAGGTCAAAACAATAATAAGAATGGGAGCCAACTACCCCCACCCTGTTAGTCAACTTCCCTCTGATGGGTGGCTTGGATTGGCCTTTCCGGGGTGGTTTCTACCCTCTACAAAGGCTTGGGCGAACAAACACAAAATATTACCTGACTAACCTCCGTGTTAAATCCGCTGAAATGGGTGTGTCTTCGCTTGTAAGTAAAACCAAAAGGCAAAAAAGAGGCTTGGGGTTGGCAAAACGAACGGACCCCACATGAGTCGTCGGAGACGCGTCGCTCAGTATGCGCCGGCCCTCCCCCCGCTGTTGAGTCTTTGACAATTGCCCTTCATCAGTCACGCTTGCCATCCTTTGCTGTCGCATGACAGTCAGTAGTCAGATGCTTAGTGTGCTAAGAGATGCCCATTGGGAATATTGACATCGGATCTCCAGGGTCATTTCCAAGGTTGCTCATTCACTTGACCATTCCATACTTCGGAAATAGATCCAAGGGATGAAAGGCCTTGCCCCTGACATCGATCCACAATTGTGGTAGCGGACCAGGTTTTTTTGAGAACAGAAGACGTCATCAGACCAGAAGTATTTCCTGAATCTTTTGCCATGCTGAGGAAACAAATGCCAAGTTGTCGGCATGGCATGACGGACGTGTCAGCTGGCTCAGGTACCAACGAAACCGGTGGGCGGATATAGATAATATAGCTCTCTTTCTCTTTCTTTTCTTTTTCTTTTGCTGCTGGTCATGTCGTTCCTTTATTTCCTTCTTTCCTTCCTTCTTTCCTTGCTTTCTTTCTATCTTCCTTTCTTTCTTTCTTTCTTTCTTTCTTTCCTTTTGCCCTTCTTCATTTTCTTCCGTATTTCCTCCTAGCTACGGTCTCTCTGTCCATCCTTTTTTGCTCTCGAGCTAAGTTATATCTCCCTATCTCTCTATCTCAGCTTCCAACACCGGTAAGAAGGCGCGAACATCGAAAGTGATTTGCGCGTCTTGAGCGTGGTAGCAAGTTGGAATGATCATGCTCACTTTGTTTTGGCCAGCAGATCCTTGCAGGTCTACAGCAGGTGGGTTGATGTGCCCCACAGTGAATGATGCACACTGCAACTCTTCCACCCTGATGACTGTGGATTAGGATTGGCCAACATGAAGGCATATGTGGCTCCACCCGTTGACAGGTTCTGGGCAGGGATTTTGGACAACCCAAGGCAGTGGATCCTGCAAATGATGTGACGATGCCTGGCACGGCTGCTTGGCACAAATCTGTTGCACCCCCCGCCGTAACGGCTAGGCGGTCCGTTTTTGGATCACAGCGGGCGGCTTCAGAAACGAATGGCCTAAATTTCGACAAGACGGCTCATCCCTGCAAGCCAATCAGGTTCCGCCATGCGAAACGTGGCATTCATGTCACAGGCTTGTGTCAATCACCTGCAGCAACCGCAGAACTTGCATCCGAGTTTCACGCCTGCCGGCCTCTCTCTCACAATCATCCACGTCATTGGTTAACCAATCCCGTGTGCCAAGGCGGAGTATGTCAAGGCAAACTACGGATTTCTCCCTGTGGCAGCGCAAGCCAAAGCCTGCGACTCTCTTTGCTGCTTGGAGCAGGCGGCTTATTTCGGACAGGTATGGCGCGTGGGAAGTTTCACAGGGGCCCTTGTCATTGGAAGCTAAGTTTGACTGACATCCAATGCTGCTGAGCCAGAACAAGGCGAGCCATTCTAGGGTTATACTTCATTGTGGTCCTCAATGGCTCCTAGCGCCCTTGGGAGTCATTTTTTGTCGCTGAGCGTCACTAGATGTCTCTAGGGTGTAAGATTCCAGGGGGCATCCAACTTGCAACTTGCAGGTTCCTCCTTGGACTCACAGCCCGTCAGGTGGCTTGCCCTGCAAACTCCCACGGTGTCAGCACAGTCCTTGGATGCGTTTGCGACAAGGCCGGCGCAAAGCGAATGGTCATGGATGAAGCAGCGTTGAAAGATTAACGTAGGGCAGCAGTGATATATTCTCACTTTCTTGTATGCAGTGGGCGTAGTGTCCAAAACGTTTTAGAAGCTTGAGCGGGGGATGACCAGTTGCTACATTTCGCATGATGTGATAGTTGCATTCACTCTTGACCACGCAATGGTTCACGTTGCCAGGACTCGTGGCACGACGATTCAAAGCATTTGTGTGCTCAAGTTTTGCGCTGTGTTGTGTGGGTACCTTGCACTCAGGGCTACCATGGCGCCATCACTGCCATTGCCCAGCCGCCGTACAGCAAGGGTACCTGCGAATCGGTAGCCTGCCCAACCAACTCCCGCGGGGAGAGCGTGGGCAAAGGATGCAAGTGCGAGGCTGGCTATAGTGGCCAGATTGTGGCGACTCGGGAGGCCCCCTACTACCGGGGAACTTGCGTGCCCCGGCATGCGCTCAGACTGCGGAACCTTCATTCGCGACTGATCAAGCGTAATTACACACAGACACACACACCCACACCATCCCACACCCGCACCCACACCCACACGCTCACGCACGGCCACGCACACGCGCACGCACACGCACAGGCACACGCACACCCACACCCACGCCCACGCCCACGCACACGCACGCACGCACACGCGCAGGCACACAAACAAAGACACACACACACACACACACATGCAAACACACGCACAAAACACCCAGACAAACACGCCCGCAAACACATTCACAAACAGACAAACACACAAACAGACAAACACACAAGCACAAGCAGCAAACACAAAAGCAAACAAGCAAACAAACACGCGCAAGCAAACATGCCAACACACAGACATGTAAACACGCAAACATGCAAACACACAAGCACACAGACACACCCACAAACACACAGCCCAACACACACACACACAAACACAAACACAGACACAGACATAGACACAGACACACACACACACACGGACACAGACACACACACACACAGACACGCACACACACACACACACAGAAACACGCACAGACAGACACACAGACACACAGACACACACACACACACACACACACCCACACCCACACCCACACCCACACCCACACCCACACCCACACCCACACCCACACCCACACACCCACACCCACACCCACACCCACACCCACACCCACACCCACACGCACACGCACACGCACACGCACGCGCACACGCGCACACGCACACGCACACACGCACACACACACACGCACACACGCACACACGCACACACGCACACACACACACACAACACGCACACCACGCACACACGCACACACGCACAACCGCACAACCGCACAACCGCACAACCGCACAACCGCACAACCGCACAACCGCACAACCGCACAACCGCACAACCGCACAACCGCACAACCGCACAACCGCACAACCGCACAACCGCACACCGCACAACCGCACAACCGCACAACCGCACAACCGCACAACCGCACAACCGCACAACCGCACAACCGCACAACCGCACAACCGCACAACCGCACAACCGCACAACCGCACAACCGCACAACCGCACAACCGCACAACCGCACAACCACACAACCACACAACCACACAACCACACAACCGCAGCCGCAACCACAACCACACACACACAACCACACACACAACCAATGCTGCATATATGTTTTCCTTTTCGGTTGTCGCTAAGGTGAAAGTGCCGTGCCCTGAGAGCACTGTGGGGGACTACATCGCGGACGGGTGCCAGTGCGCGGCTGGCACCAATGGCGGCATTGCTGCGTTGGACATTCTGCCATATTACAGTTCTACCTGCCAAGCAGTGGCGTGCCCCACCAACAGCAGCGGCGCAAATGTTGTGGAGGCAGGGGAGCAGCATGCAGAGGGAAGAAAGATGAAAACACCAAGAGGGCGCTTTGTTTTCCGGGCATTGCCAAGCTCACCTAAGGGCCTACTAGCCCACTGCTCAGGGGTGCTCCTGCTTGCCGGGCTTCCGGGGGTCCCTGAAGCCGTCGCTCTTGGACCCTTTCTTCACAGGCGCCTGCGAGGCAGGGCCGAAAGCCAATCGAAAACTCGCGCGCGCTGGCATGTGATGCGAAAGTGTTCAACTTGTCCTGACAGCGCATGTGGCTACTCGAGATCCATGTCAGGTTGAATGTGACAAACTGTTGAGCTTCTTGGGTGCCCTACTTTCATGTGAAGGGAAGCAGCACGTCAAGATTTAGCGCCCCCTTTGAAAGGCGTTTGTTCATGGGGAATTTTGCTCTCCCTTGCGCCCAAATGGGTTTGCCTCACAATAGAGAGAGCCCTTTTGCGCAGGTTGCAACGCCAAACAAAAAGAAAACTGCCACCAGGGGTCCCTGCTCCTCCTTGCGCAGGCCGTAACCTGCCCTCCAGAAGCAGAGGGCGCCAGTGTGCCGGAAGGAGAGTCTGCGATAGTTTGCGAAGGGCGGGACCCGGGTTTATGTTTGTTCTCAAAATGAGGTCAACCCAAAGATGATCGGGTTCCTTTTGGTTCCCCTTGAAAACCAAAGGTCGGTCTCCTGAAAAAGACAGGTCTGGAACCTTAAAGCTGCACTCTGCAAAGCGGAGAGTAGCGAGCATTGGCAAGCTTCCATTAAGAGGATCCCGGGCTTTGCGTTCAGGATGTGACTGCAAGGCTGGCTACAAAGGCAAGGTGACGCCCATCTCAGAGCTGCTAGGCCAAATGCATGTCGATATGCCTGGGATTTTGATTTGGCGACTCGGCGACGGCGCTGTTGCTCGCACAGCCTCCGGGCCCATTGCCCGCCCGACGGACAACGTGAGATAGGATGTGTGAGACTAATTTGTGAATTGCAACAGCCTTTGCCCACATTCCAAAGCTAAGCTTACTACGCTTCAAATCTCGTCAAGCTTACTTGACTGCGGGTGAAAGAAGACAAAGCAGGAGTTGCTTGCTAGAAGGCAGATTGCCCTTTTTTGTTATTCGCCATGTTGGAAAAAACATGGTCTTCGAGGGCTTCCTGGTTTCATGTCAGTTATGTGTCTACTCCGAGGAATCCCTTCTTCAACAGCAGCTGCGTGGAGGTGGCTTGCCCGACTGGGACTTTTGGGAGTGACGTGCTGGCTGGCTGCACCTGCCTGGCGGGCAGCGCTGGCAACATTTCAGCAGCCAAGGCCAGGATTGAGCGATACTTCGCTGGTCAGTACGCATAGGGCCTTAGGGAGGGGCAGAACGGAGGCAAACATATGAAGGTGCGAGAGACAAAGACCGTGAAGGATCATTTGTTTGTAAAGTAATAGCCTCAAGATTGAAGGAAACTCGTTTCACAGGTGCTGTGGCCCTTGCCGAAGTTGTGCTGCCTCTCAGTCAACAGGCAAGCCGCTCCTTTCGTCGTTTCCTTTGTCAAAACCAACTTTTGAAAAAACAACACGTGTTTTTTTTTTCCCTTGTTTTTATGTAGTTTTATGCAAAAACCCATGCCTTCCAATGGGCAGGTGGCTCCTTTCTACCAGGGCAACTGCTCGGCGGTGGGCTGCCCGTCAACCGCCATGGGCACCAACCTCCAGGAGGGCTGCAGCTGCCCAGAGGGCCACGAAGGCTCCGTCACGGCCACGGCAGAGGCGCCCTACTTCAAGCGCCTTGCAAACGGAAAATGCCTGAAATCCGGGTGCAAGTATGTTAAACCATGGTTAAATCCAGGGTTCAGTCAGGCTAGATTTTAAGGAAGGGACGGCCGGGACGGCCAACTAGCTGTCAGACCAAAACAAGCTGGCCAAGGCTGCCTGGAAGCCTTTGTTGCCTTGCGGCAAAGGCCTAGCCGCTCCTGGAACTTGAAGGCGTCCAACCTATTTTCTTGGCATCCTTGCACAGTCAAAGGCGGAAAAACACAATGCTGTTTTTGTAAGCGAGGACTTGTGAGCCTAGCAAATCACAAAGGCTTTAAAGGGTTCACTCACAAGACTGGCATGAACCTGTCAGGAGTTTGTTCGATCGCACATCCAAATCACATTCAAAAAGGAACAGTTTGAATGCCTCAGGCAGCATCAAGCATGTGCGTTTGTGGCATTTGTTTTCCAGTAAGGCCCCACTTGCCTTGCCTGGTGCTGCAGGTGGTAAAACAGCATATGTGTTCGCTTTGGCCTGAGGTCGACATGCAAGGCTGTGGCCTGCCCGCGCCATTCCAACGGCTCCAACGTTTTCGAGGGCTGCAAGTGCAATGCTGGCTTCAAAGGCGATATAGCTTTGGCCATGTTGGCTGTTACCTATTGGTTGGCAGCTGGGCGGGCACGTTGGGCTGAAGGCTTTGGAGTTGGAGGTCGAGAAGGTTGGCTTGGAGGGTTGGCAGGGTTTGGATGGAGGGCTGAAAGGTTTTGTTGGGCGGTTTTGGTCAAGACAGCTTTCGGCTTTGTAGGAGATTAGCACTTGGGTGATTTTAGGTGTGGTTGGGCCGGCAAACCTCATCACATCAGGGCTGGGCGCGTTTCTGTTTGCGGGCAGGCGAAGTCGAAGCTACCCGTCACAGCCCTTACTACACATCCACCTGCGCTGCCGTAGCATGCCCTGCGCATTCAGCAGGTGCCTCTGTACCAGCCGCGCGGCAGGTCAGGGCCGGGCTCGGGCTAGTTTCTTGCGACCTGTTTGTGCAGATTGATCAACAGCAGGACGCTAGCTGCCCCTCACCCGCGTGGTTGGTCTACCTATCCACTTAAGCGGAATGCCGACGGCAAGCGTGATGAGTGTCTTTGCAGTTTCATGTGATTCGTGTGATGATGCATGATTTGAGTAGCCTGTTCCGAACCATTGACAATACGTTGCGTTGCTGCAGTACACGCAAGCCTTGGATGATCAGCGGTCAACGGCTCGAAAGATGCCGCAAATTATGTTTCATTTGACAGAGTATGTGCCCATGAGCATTAAGTGTATGACCCTCAGTGGTTCTTGTAGCGGATGTAGTGGCTCCTTTGAACAGCCTGTTTACTTGAACCGGAAGTTATTTTTCGTTCCGGAGTCAAGCTGTCATGTTTCAACCAGCGCATGGCTCTTGATGGCTTAGTCAAGGGGAATGCCGCTTCTTTAGTTTCGACAATGCAGACTCGACCTTGTAAAATAGCCTCCAAGCTGTTCCAGCATGAACACCTTCTTGATCAAGCGTTGTGTTGCTGTTTGTATGCTGCAATGTATGGTTATGAATGGCAATTGTTTGTTTAGTGTTGTTGGGTGAGCTTGCTTGATTGCTTGCTCGCTTGTTCGCTCGTTCGTTCGTTTGTTCGTGTGTTTGTTGCGTTGTGGTTGCGACTTGTGCCATGCTGAGGAGGGCTGCCAGTGCAAGCCGGGCTACGAGGGCACCATCGTGGCCAGCTCCACGGCGCCCTTCTACAGCGGCAGCTGCAAGCCGGTGCCCTGCCCGGTCAGCTCCAGAGGCCTCAGCGTGCCGCAGGCAGGTACGCTTTTATACGCTTTTGGGGTTTGGGGGAGGGGGGGGGGGCAGTTGATGGAAATGAAGGAGGAAAAAGGCAAGGGCTACCTAGGGCTTCAAGAACCTGTAAAAATGTCGTACCCTGACTAAAACATCGTGTTTTTTCTCGATTTTCTGAAAACATTGTGTTTTCAGGAAAAACATTGTGTTTTTGATAAAACCACTTAAAAATTGGCTTCTGAGGCCAAACACTCATTTGGAGCAAAGGGTCAAAGGCAAGGGTCGGGAGTGGATTCACACAGACATCACCCATTAAGATTTCAACTGAGGGCAACGCTCTATACTGAGTATGCTTCAAATTCTAAGGACCACATTGATGAGCCTGACAGCCAGGGTGTGCAGCTGGCTTCAGTCTTGAAGTACCTTTCACAGCAACAGGCACCTGAAGACTGGCGCCAGGTCATACCGAACCAGTTTGAAGGGGGTGCTGGAATCCGAAAGCTCCTTTTGGTGCAAAACAAGACCAGGTGACACTTTTGAGATTCTTTTTATCAATTTTGAGTTTTTTTTAGCAAATGGGGCGGGATCCTGGCGGCTAACCGCAGAAAACCCGCAGAAAACCCGCAGAAAACCCGTAGAAACCCATAGAAAACCCGTAGAAACCCGTAGAAAGCCCGCAGCCCCAACCGAAAACATCGTGTTTTTGGAAAACATCGTGTTTTCTAACCCGCAGCTAAACCGTGGAGAACCCGTAGTAAAGCGTGGCAAAGCGTGGAAATTCTATGGGTTTTTCGGGTTCAACCACGAATGCGCTAATTCGAGAATGTTGCTGGAAAACAACGAAGTTGTGAGCAAAAGCACGGTCTTTGCTTGAGCTTGCGCGCTGTTCGAAGCCAGCACGCCCTCATCATGGCACTGCTGCTTGACAAGTGTCATAAAACCGTGGTACTTTTGACTATTTGGGTCCCCGGCCTCCTTCTTTCAGGTTTGAGTTGCGAAAGACGAGTGGCGAATGCGAAGCTGATTTCGTTGCGAGTGCAAAAGGGGAGGGCGATGGGAGATTCTGAGGTTGAGATGATGCTTTTGAGATCTTTTGAGAACGGATGACGAGTTGAAGGAATGTATGGGAAACTGCTTGAAATCGAAAATGCGGTGTTTCCCGAAAACATCGTGTTTTCCCAAAAAACCTGGTGTTTTTTGTAGGTTTGACATTTTCATCGGTTTTTGAGGCTCCTGGTAGGACAAGCAACAGCTGTGCATTTTTTTTTGAAACGAGGGACCGTGGCGCATGTCCCATGCAATGCGCAGTGCTTGAGGTGACTCGTAAGCAGCCTATATCTTTGGAAAGGGCTCTGGGCAGGACGCCTCGAGGTAAGTTTAGGCCGTGTCCTTGGCAATGCACTTCCATGGGTCACTAACAGAAGGCCAACCAGAGGCCTTTCATACCTTGCCAGAGCCTTTCGATGGCACAAACACACGATGGTGAAAGGGTCAAACAATAAGCCTCACATGTCTAAAAAGTGAAGGTTCCCCTTTTTTTTCTTTTTTTTTTTTGGGGGGGGGGGCGGGGCAATGTTTCTCAGCCATTTCTGCATTTTCCATCTCAGTTCTCGCGATCTACTTACTGGTTCTCAGATGTTTCCAGTAGAGATTGATGTGACCCGTATGAATTATTCCCAGTGGTTTCCTGCAAGAGGATTTCTGGGTTCATTCCCACAACGCCTGTACATTACCTGAGAACCAGTGAGCGTAGGCAAGCTTTGAAAGGTCCCCGTCCGAAGGGCATGCCCGTGACAGGAAAAGGGGGCGGCTCAATTCAGCCAGCTCAATAGGGTTAACCACAGCATTGCCAAAGCCAAAGGTTTGATCATTGCTGCCCTGCCAGGGATGCACCTGTGATCCGGGCACTGCCGGAGAGGTTTGGGCGCGGGACACGGCGCCCTTCTACAGAAGCATCTCGGGCTCGGAGTAAGCGGTGCCACTCGACTGGGGGCAATACTATTCGTTGCGGCTTGCGTGAAAGCACCTCACTTTGCATTTGTGTCATGAATGTTGGGGAAGACTTAGGTGATCTTAGGTGTGCTTGCTTTGAGCTGCTCATGTCTCATTTGCCCTATGATTCAATGATTGCTGGTGTCTTTAGTAAACGGGTGTGTTACATGGGTTTCGAAAAAGGGGGTTCCTTTGGGTCGCAGCTGTTTGGGCTCGGCCTTCTGCCCGGCCAAAGCCATGCTTCCGGTCTCGCGGCCGCGCCTGGCACCGACGGCTCCGACTCAGACCGCTCCGGCGCGGGTGGCACGGCAGCCATTTCGCCACAGGCTAATGAGAGCCCAGGATTAGTCAGCCCAGTTGATGAACACAAGGCGTGCTCCGAGTTAGAAGGATCCGGCTCGGGAGGGAACACGCAAGGCTTATTCATTCGCGATTGATGTATTCGTCCCTGAATTTGCCGTGAATGGAGGAAATGGCATTCGATATTCAGCAAAGTTCTTAAAACTGACATGGCATGGTTTTACTGTATTTTGTACCGGCCGCGCTCACACCTTTTCGCCTTGGCCGACGCTTTTTGTTTTGCACTGAGGTCAGCCGAGCGCCTGGTTCAGTGCCGCTGGGATTCTCCAGGGCCGCTGCATCTGCTGCATCTGCTTTGGCGGTGGCATTGGCAGCCCCACGCACCAGGATGAAGGCGGAGATTATCGATGTGGACATTGTGGAAGTCAAGGTGGGGCAGGTTGCCACTTTGTCCGACATGTTGGGGAGATGCCTAGGCCCGAGACTCTTGATGTTCTTTTCTAGACAGGATCCAGGCGCATGTTTTCGGCCCACGGAACGCATGTGCAGGATCCAAAGGCAGAGGTCGGTGAGAAGCTGGTGGACGCCGTGCTGGACTTGGTGCGGAAGACGGGTGTGCCAGTGAGAAACCAGGCGCCCTCCTGAGAAAGTTGGGAGGGGCTGATGACTGATCACGTTTTTTGGTTGAGGGCATGAAGCTCATGTGGGCACCCACCGTGGTGCGTAGACGGCATTTTGGGCCAGATGGCAAGCTTGCTGGATTGGCAAGTGGGTCAGTCTTTTTTGTGGGTACCCATTTTGTATAGTTTTAAAGGGCAACCAACAGGACACCACCAACTTGGAGGGTTTCCAAAAAAGAGACACCCAAATAATAATGACTAATGATTGAATGATTGCATACTTATTTGTATGTCATATTATGGCATCAGGCCATGCTAAGGTGCAGCTCTCGGCAAGTTCAAACAAGAACCTGCATCACCGTGAAAAAAACACCAGCAATTCATTGTAAGGGGCGTTTGATAAGATAAATGGCAGCAGTTGATGTGTCCCTTTTACGCTGAAGGGCCTGTCTTGGCAAATCCCATGGTTGAATGCCAATCCCCGGAGGGCATCAGAGGGCGCTTACTTGGCACTAATCCGAATCTCGCTTTGACAACCGCCGTTCTCCAGTTGTCCAGTTGCCACACTGTCCACCTGCATGCTCCCCAAGAATCAGCTCCCCTTTCTGTTTTTTGCTTTTTTGGGGTCCCTTTGCTTGCCACTAACCAGAAAAAAGAAGAAAAACAAGCATAATTTTTGCTGGGGTCCTATTTCCAGCCTAGCATGAAGCTTGCACAGGTCATGGAGTACAAGGCGGAGCCGATGCGATCACCTTTGGCCAAAGCTGGCCTGGATGCGCTGGCGTCGGGCAAGGCCGCCACGGACTTGCTGATAGCAGGGCCACGCGGCTTGCAGGGGCAGCCTTGTGTGGACCAAAATGGACGTGGAAATCGGGGCCCAACCTTTTTGCACGGGAGAAGCTATGCCAACCACTGCAAGCTCCAGGCTCACTTGTTGCCACGAAGGATTGACGTGAGTCCTGTTGTATGGGGGATCATTTGACTGCACTTGTGCCATATTGACTATCATACGTGTTGCCCGAAGCAGGCAGCCTTGCCTGTGCCCAGATGTGTTGTGTAGCTCCGTCAGACTTCTTCAAGCCGACTGAACCTCTACCACTTTGCCAACCTGAAATGGGTTGAGCATCATGCTTTGGCGTGCTTGGCCAAAAACAAAAGTATGCAAAGGTACACCGATCCACCCAAATCGCTCGAGGCTGAAAGCCAGAGGTGCCAGCGAGGACACCGCAGAGGTAGCAGCCGCCACGCTGTGCCTCATGCGCCTCGAAGAATTCAGCATGGGTTCAAAGCAATCTTAAAAGCTGTGATAAGGCCCGGCTCCTCGCCCCCCCACACCCCCCAAATGCCAATGACTGTCCAGTGGTTTGTCAAGTGACCTATATGGTGGCTGTTTTCGAGCCATTTGCAGGACTTGGGGTGGGTGCTGGGCATGTATTATATATATATATATATGTATAAATGGTACCCCCCCCATGGACCCTGGTTTGGTGTGTTTGACCTGTATTTTCCAGTGTTTTATGCATGTGTTTGCTTCTTGGATTTGTGATATTCATATACGATAAGCAATGACATCAGCATCTGCAATCTGAAAGAGTTTGAATGCATCCAAGAGCACAAGAACAACTCTTCTTCTTCTTCTTCTTATTATTATTATTATTAAAAAAAAAAAAAAAAAAAACATATGCATATATATATATACATACATAAATAAAGCAAATCCTGGGTTCAAGATTCAAGAACCTGAGAGAATATGTTCTGGGAATCTTGAATCTTGAATCTTGAATCCAGGATTTGGTTTAAACAAATTCCAGGGTTGTTTCAATACTCTCGGTGTTCAATAAGATTCTCGGAAGAGTTTTCCGTAAAATATTTCAATCTCGAATCTTCAATCCAGTGGTAAAATACGTTCGAGGTGTTTGAACAACTTGAACATTTTCAGGGATTGACCAGGATGGATGGCTCTCGGGAAAGTTGTCGTTTCTGCACTCCTCAATATTGAATCCTCAATCCAGTGGTGAAGCACTTTCAAGTGTTAGAAGAACTTGAATGTCGTTTGGGTTTGTCCAGGATTAACAATTCCCAGGAAAGTTTTCTGTGTAATCTTCAATCTTGAATCTTCCATCCAGCGGTAGAATACTTTCAAGTGCTTAGCGATCCAGTGGAAACACCTTCAAGTTATTGGTTAGACAAACTTTCAAGTGCTTTGGTGATCTTCATGTCAGCATGCTCATGTGGACCCTTTTCCAGGAGGGAAATTAAGGCAGGTGTAATGCTCAAAACCACTGTATTTTCCAGTATGTTATAAAGGGGCCCAGGATCATTCGGGGTACTATATGTATGTGTATGTATGTGCAGATGTAGATGTACATATGTATGTACATTCACATACCGTCACCCCACACCCTCTTGAACTACCTGTCCATTTGCTCATCTACTACCTCCACCTTTTGAGCTATAATGTTTTTTGTTTTTCCTGTGCAAATAGAACTTTAAGTACACCTGATTCAGCTAGAATCCCTGTTTCGAGATGGTCTTAGAATTTGAACCTGTCTTCCCTTGAAATGTCCCTTTGGACCGTCTGGACCGTCTAACAAGTTCAATGTCGGACCTTTCTTATGCTACAAAAGGGCCAGAATGTAAATAACACAAAATGTATTTTGAGTTTCCTTGTAGAAGTCCCTCAAATGTTTAGCCATATTTAATATGAATTATACTTGAGAAGTAGTCTCTATTTAATTGTTATTATCAAAAGCTAATTGAATTGTGTTCGTATTAGATCATATTGAACACTTAGATTGCATTTTGAGAAGAAACTCCTATCTAACTTCTTTTGTAAAAGATTAGTTGGAGTTTACTCGAAACTATATTCACATTTTCATGTAGCTCCTATTTGGAAATGATTTGCATATCTAAGCTGTAATTGAACATAAACACATGTTTGAAAACTATATCCTTACTAAACTATATTCAAAATTCCAATTGTAGTTGAAGTAAAATCATATTTGGAAAGCGTATCATATTGGGACATCATGGAGAACTCCGGGCTCCAAATCAGGCTTCGGGGACCCACAATTGGACATTTCGAGAATATACATTTGGAGATTCTAGATTTGCCATCCCCAAAAAGCAATAAAACCAGGGTCCATGGGGGGGGGTAGCATATAAATATATGTTGGCACATGATGCATTTGACAACGCAGGTATAAACATTTCAGCATAGCTTACTAGAATGTTCCGAAGGTGAGTATCGACTTCTAAAGCCAAAGAAGAGCCCCCGAAAGTGACCATTCTCAATGGGTATGTGATTTAGAGCTGTTGCGTATTAAGGATTTCCCCTTGAGGTAGGCTCCTGCCAGTGAAATGTTTCAGACAAATGAGATGGGGAAAGTTCGTGAAAGTTCCCGGTCCCACAAAGGGGCCCAACATGTGCAGCTGATGTTTCGTTTCCCGAAAGCCCAGCACTTCCCATCGCATGCCTCCCAACGGGAGTAGTGGCCGCGGCAGGAGCTTACAGCTAGATGGCTTGCTAAGCCTTGCGCTCTCCAGGTGGCTGTTGAACTGCACTGCCGTGCACCTGAGCACTTGTAGATGTTGGCGGAATGAGACAATAGGCATTTGTGGTTTTCAAGATCGATCCAGTTTCAATGTCCACTCAAGCTCCTTCCCCTAGCTTACCAAGTACTTTGCCCTTCTAAGTGGCAGGTGTTTTGATGATTTTAGGCGCACGTTTTGAGGCACCCTGCGCTGAGGTTGGGCGGTTTAGACGAGGCCCACAACCTGGTGACGCCGCACAGCTGGGGCGCTCCCACGACCTTTGGCGGCGAGCCCAAGCTTCGCAGCACAGTGTCCCGGGAGGCGATGTTTGGCAGCAAGCTGTGTGCATGGTGGTTTGTTCTTTCATGTTCTTTCTTTCCAGGTGTTTCTCTACTCTCAGATATGTGTCTTTTCAATTCCACCGTATTCTTCACTCCAGCCTGTCCTGTTTTTCAGGATCCGGCCTTTGGTTTGGCGGCTGCAAAGCGTCCTCGGACCACTGAGGAAGTACTGCCACATCATCATCCACAGAATGGAAGGAGAGAATCTGGGAGAGTTTGGCTCAGGCTTCAACAACAGCAGGTACTGGTTGGGGCAGGCATTTTCCTATGGCCAGAGCGAGCACCCCATTTTCCCCCAACTTCGACAAGATGCCGAACAGCTAGTCGGCAGCTGTCACGATGGCAAGGTCCTCCTTCGAAATATGGGTCCCAAGTGGGAGCCATCACTCTTCAACAAACTTTGCGAAGATGCATTGCTGACTGAAGATCCGGAAGTGTTGGAGTTTTGCAAAGCAGTGCAAACTCGTGAGCTGCAGTTGCTGTTCGAGCACACCATGACGCAGCAGCAGGAGTAAAACTCCTGCAGCGGCAAGTCGTCTGGAAGTATCTCCTGTTGCAGGCTTAGCGAAAGATTGCAGGCGTGCGCCACTGAGAGACGCACAGCAGGGGGTGATGGTCAGCTTCCAACCGCAAACTAGGTCTCTTGAAATGTTTGAATCGCACTGAATATTGTTGGAGTCCATCAACGGGTTGACCCCACCTCGTCCCGGACTCACAGAATCATCCATGTAAAGGCCAGCTGTCCTTGGGGATGAAAGGATTGTGGCTGAAACTTTAGCAGCCAGGGGATCGCAGGTTTTAGTCTACTTTTCCATTTTGGGACGTATTGTTTAAGCCACACCCCAAAGCCAATGGTACAGTTTGCATGCTTGACAAATTAAATGGGGCATGCTTAAGCCAACGTCACCCGTTGTTTGAGACCGCTGCCAGCAGAGACGCAGTTGGCTGTTTGCGGCTGTTGCTGGTATCTTGTACCTATTTCGAGCCAGCCTTTGCCTGTGTGCATGGATCCTTATACAGCTAGGTTGAAGTAGATGGCACGACTCCCCCATTTTGGTAGTTACCCACAAGGGAATTGTGCTTTTCTGCCCTAATGCAACTGGAGTGGAGCCAGCCAAGGCACTTGCGAGCCCTTGCCTTGCCCCTCGCACTCGGTGGGCACCGATGCGGTAAGCGGCTGTAGCTGTGATTCCGGCTTCGCTGGTCAGGCGGGGGTGGTGAAGGACGCTGGATGCCACGCACCTTTGGGACGGAGCTTCGTGCAGCAAAAGGGATACATTTTGGCCCTGCAGACCTTTTGATTTCTAAAATTTTCAGATTTCGGCCGACGATGATGCTGCGTCACAAAGTGATCACACATTGGCCGAGCTTTGTTTCATGAGCCATGTCTAGTGGTGCTTGTGTTCCGCCCCGGATGCAGGTTACAGGAAAAGTCGGCGGTGTCAAGGACGGGAACCACTTGTCAAACTCAGGTTGGGCTGCATGCCTACCAAGGAGTCCTAAGAGGTGTCTTTCCCTAAATTCAAAAGGAGGTACTTTTTAACATGTGAGGGTTTTTGATTCCATGCCGCAGTGAAAAAAAGCTTAGAAGCTTGCGTCGTGGCAATGGCTTGCCCCTTGCAGCCAGTTTGCAATCAAGGAGGGTGATCCGACGTAAGGGCACAATGGAAAGATTGAGATGGGTCTGTCTATTTTGAAGGCTCCTCTTTTGTTCTTTGTTCGTGTTTTGAAGGGATTCCAACAGGAAAACTCACCTGTCCGATTTCCAAGAGTATCCAAGAATGCTTATTGGACAGGTCGACTGAGCTGTTTCCTCAATGTAGCCCAAACTGCGAAATTAACTGGCTTGTTGTAGGGCCTGTTCCCGTCAGTGTGGACTTGGGTGGTTGGAGGCTGGTCGAAGGTGGTCGGAAGTTGGTCGGAAGGTGATCGGAAGTTGGTCGGAGGTGGTCGCAAGTTGGTGGGTAGTGGTTGTTTGGAGGCTGCAGCTTGGTTCTACAGATGTGATGCTGTTTGAGCTTGCAGCAGCCCAACTCGTTTCCATTGGGTCAGGCAGTGCCAAGTCATTTCATTTGCAAGGTTGACAGCCTATTTGATCAGCAGCCTGTCCGGACAAGCCATTTGGAAATCTAACAACCCACCTTACTTGTTTCGGGGGGTCCGATTCTCAAAAAGATACACACATCCAAATAGAGCCCAAGAAGCTTGCCACCAAAGCTCCGTGGATTCCGGCTGCAGGACACCTGCACAGCAGAGCCGTGCCCTGCGCATTCCGAGGGCCACTCAATTCCTGCCGGGTGCAGCTGCAAAGCGGGCTTCGCAGCTCAGCGGCGCAGGGGTGACTTCCCGGTTTCCCTGTTGGCTTCCCGAACAAAGAACCACAAAAGACAGATCATGTCCCTCAAAAAACAAAAAATCCAGAAGGGGTGTAAAGATTCAGGGCTTCGCATGACCCGATGCCAATGCGGCTGCAAGGGCACAAAGAAAGCCGCAAAATGCCCATGGCATTTGATCCTGTCGATCTGTCTGGAACAAGCTGCTCCTGAGTTCAAAAAAATATGTAATCATTGCTTGAGATTGAGTCCAGGGTGCTCCTGTTGTATAACATCCTGTAATGCACTGGGCCGTTGGCAGTGGGTTGTGCTACCAGCTAAGGGATTCTTTGATGATGGATGGCACAAGGCTGCGAAAAGTGTTTGACTGAGCCAATTCATATCTGGCAACAACGATGTATGGGCCAGCTATGGGCCAGCACTAGGCATCCACATCAAGAGCTTGGCACACACTGCAGACGGATCAAGTCAAAAAGTGAGCTCCACTTAGGCCGGCACTATCCAAGCCACCACCACGTCGCCATACTACAACGGCACTTGCAGCTTGGCTGCTTTGGGCCCACCAAGTCGGAATGAACAGGTTGATATACTGGAAGGACAGCTTGTTTTTGTTTTTTTGTTTTTTTTCTTCTTTTTTTGGCGCGGCCCAATGATTGGTTTGTGTGGCAAAGGTTTCAGGGTAGAGGTACTTGGCCGTTCGCAAGAACGCCGAGCCACGTGCACACCCCCCTTTGCCACGACACTTCTCCAGAAGTGGGGCACTGCCACTTTTGTTTTTTGAGCCAAGCTGCACTGAGAATTGGGCAAACATACGTGAAAGCTGGGCAACACTAACATGGCGAAATGAGTTAGCCTACAATAGAATTGGACACTACGGCTTTAGAATTGGGCAACTTGAGAATTCGGCATAGGACCTAGGGTGCCCAGTTGGTTTGGTGACTTAATAGTCGGCCAGCACCGAGCCTTTGTGAGAGACTCCGGGACTGCCAACACCTGTCAACACTATCCAGGAATATGACTTGTAAAGAAACAACAAGCATAAGCTTTTTTAAACAAGATAACTGGGGTCGGCGTATTCCCCATGTCACACATGTCACACAAAGCCAGGGCAGCCCCTCCGATTTATCCGGTCGCCGGTCGCGACCGATCCTCACTCGGCGAAGCATGAGGCAGCAATGGGAAAGTTAAAGGACTCTTTTTTTTTGAATCTGAGGGGCGAAGCGTGCCTAGATGGAAAAGCGGCTTGCGTTGAAGGGGTACCCTTTTTGAGCCTTAAGCATTGTTTGTTTAACAACATGTCGAGAAGCCGGCTATAATAGCTGTTTTTTGGGTTTGGGAGGGGCAGCCCTCAATGAACATTTTGACGGGAATCAGTTGGCAGAAAGCATTGGTAGCGTGAAAGTAGATGGCACGATTCCCCTGTTTTGGTTTAGTCATCCCCCCTACTTTGCCACGCAAAGAGACTTGCCATCTACTTTCATGCTTGGTTTTCAACGAGGTTTCGTGCGGTTAGGCATTCTGTCTAGAATGTGCGACAGGCATTGAAGTTAACAGCGACATGCATGAAGCACACCATTCTCCAAACAAGGACGGACCAAGCAGCTCCGATGAGGAAAGCGTTTGACTAACTATGCTTGACAAAGCATCTCAAGGAGAGTTGATGAGAGTCAGGCTACCTCCAGCAATACCATAAGGAAGAAGCCGCGACAACATTGGTAAGCAGCTTAGTTGGCAAGAAGCGGTATGGAACGACATAGTTCGAATAATTGTGGGATCTTGCCACTACATACCACGACCTCACGTTGGTTGCTTCCTTTAGGAACCAGCAGTCCTTGTTTTCACCTCAAGAATTCCATGATACACTTCCAGGAGCTTGGGGTACTCCCAGTTTATTTGTTGTTGCTGCAAGACATTCTGTCGCTGCCAGGCTTTGCAGTGCCTTGCCCTGATGGCTCCACTGGGCCGAACGTGTCAGCTGGATGCACCTGCAATGCAGGCGCCACTGCGTGTTTTGCATCTGGACCTTTCGTTCCGTCGGCTGTGGTAGGAATGGCGGGCAAAACTCGCTTAAGCTGGGTACTACAGCCAGACCTCTTAAAAAGCAAGGACATCGCTTAGGGCCCAAAATCAGCAGAACAGCGCTTGTTCGCCAGAATGCAGCGGGCCATCGTGGGGCCCTGGTTGCCTTCTACTGCTGCTCGTTCTTACGCAAAGACTCACTTCTGATTTTTAGGCAACTGCAGGACAGTCCTTACGGACCCCGGTCGCCTCACCGGTCTCCCATCGGGCCATTGGGCCAGGCTACAGCGGCTCCGTGAAGGCCACGAAGACGGCGCCCTTCTACGACAGCACCTGCACGGCGGAGGCCTGCCCCGAAGCTCGGCCAAAGTCGGAGGCGTGGCCTCGTCTCTGATCTCGTTTGGTTCCCCAGTTGAGTGTGTGTGTGTGTGTTTCCTTGGAGGCCGCACAAGTGTGTGTTCTGTGTGTTGCACAAGTAGGACCAGTATGGAACAGTGCCATAATAGTGCTTGCCAGCACCCCCCCAATGGCTGGCCAATTGCTGGCACATCGATTTTGTGCAAAACGATGTCACTTTATGTCTAAGTGACTGCAAAAGCCATTTGCTATCAAGTATCACTCATCTGTACTTAGTGCAATTTGTGCAATGATACAAGTGACCTTCCAGGGTCCTTTGGAATGGGGTTGCAGGGGCAAGGGGAGAGCAGCAAATTTGAGGTTTGGAGGGCAAGTTTGAGGTTGGGAGGGGTTCTTGAGGAGCGTGTCACGGCGTTTCACGGCGTGTCGGGGGCCACTAGTGCATTTCAGCTGTAATCGGGCCATCTGTAAAATCGATCATATGGACCTTTCGGCTGGAGACATTGGCACGTGGCACGTGCGTTCAACTAAGGTATGCATTGTAGCATCCCACGCGAAAAAGTTTTCCCACGAGTGTAGCCTTGGAGCCAAAGGTCCAATGTATGGTGAAAAAGCGGATCACGGAACGCCTTCCCCATCCACCAGTTGCCTGCCTGGCACCGAACGTCAAAGTATGCACTTTAAGTTGGCGAGCACTCCAAGAAAAAAAAATATGTCAAGTTCGTCGTTGCAGTATTTGCAATGCACCCTTTAAAGATTTGCTGGCTTGTCCAAGTAAACGGTTGCAAAGCAGTTCCATACCGGAACAGACAAGCCAGTTTACAAGCAACTTGTAGCATGGCTCCTCCGGGGTCCTGCGATTGGAGCTGGCTCAGCCAGATCACAAGCAACTTTAAAAGCGGTTTTCCACACACAAGCATCTGCTAACTTGTCCAAGAGAATAAGGTGCGGAAAAGCAAAGCAGGTGGAATCTAGCCGGATCCCCTCTAGTATCCTGAAGTGGCGTTTCAACAAAAGTGACTTTGCACTGCACTTTGATGATGGCAAAAAGTATATGTGACTACAACAGCATTTTTAAGCAAGTGCTGGTCAATTGCCGGCACTTCACCCGGGACGCCAATTACCGGCCATTGGGGGGGGGGCTGGTGTATGCAAAACGTGATGGGTGAACTGCTGGGAGAACGTGCGTAAATGCGCTTCCCTTGTCCCTCGTGATCAGAAACGCAGCATCTGCCTCTGTGAGCTGCATGTTAGGCAAACGCGTGTTATTCTGCAAGTGGGCAGGAGGAAAATATGCAAGCCAAGGATTGCAGTCACGATGAAGATTGTTATTGAGGCTACGTGTAGGACACATTGCGGGCTCATGTTGCAGGTACAGAGTATGGGTAAGCATTGATCACTCTTCCTCCCGCTGTTTCTACGCAGCCCTCAGGGCGACACTAAGTTTGGTGCTCCAACGTTTCATAAAGCGCCACCCTGCGCGCCGCCAAGGACAGCTCCAACGGACTGGATATAGCCAGCGGCTGCAATTGCAACGCAGGTTACAGCGGCTCTATTGAGGCCGGGGCTTTGCATGCCATGCATTTCCAGCTGGCCAAAACAGTTGACATCATTTGCTCGGAGTGTCATTGTCGGAGTAGTCGGTGGGAGGGTGGGCGGCTTGTCCGGATGTGTTGCAAAACCTGCTTGGTTCGACGCCTTGGCGTGGCTGCAACCAAAAGTCTTGTCTGGTTTGGAAAGAGTTGTCTGTTAGAAGATTTTGACTCGAGCCGGGCGGGCCTCCCCTGGCCCGGGCGCGGCGTGCGGCCCCAGCCGCCCGCGCAGCGCCGCTAGCGCCGTGGCCGTGAAAGCGGACGCGGGGCGCGCCATGCCGGCGCCGCGGCCAGCGGTGGAGGACTCCTCAGAGGAGGACTCCTCCGACTCGGAGCCGGAGGCCGGGCCAAGACGTGGCTGGGCGAACCTCGAAAATGGTCGTGCTGAGGCTTCTGTTTGTTGTTGCCAGTGTTTCCTCCACAAGCCTCCGCAGTTGCGTGCTCGCCTAGGAATCTCATAAAAGATTGATTCCTTCTTCATTTGCTTGGGCGTGCGCGAAAACCGCTAGGTTTGTGACCTCATGTGACCTGGCTCCTGTAGGGGTCCCTTATTGAGTCTAGAAGGTGTGTGCAGGATTGATTTGCAGGTGCAAGGGGCTTCTTGAATGGTTCCGGGATGCATTACTTTTTCTAAATCATCAGTACCACTCTCTACTCATGGAGTAACCCTCCGGGTTCAAGAAGGCAACGTGTTGCATAGGGCGAGCCGAGCATTGGATTCAGCAAACGGGGTCAAACAGCCCTGGGAATGACCTAAAAAAATGGAGCTGACAAGTGACTGCTGCTTCTTGCATCGCTTGCCTCGGTGTTTCCTGCTTGCCTGGAAGCATCGGAGCTTGGACTGAGCTGCTTGGCGGTGGCACTCACCTGGTGCATTGGCACAGAGCCGGGTACGGCTACGGATTGCACTCGCCAACCGCCAACTTGAACTGCAATTGCAAAGGAATAGAGACCCTGCATCCAGGCAAGCTGCAAATGAAGACGCCAGCGCAACAAAGTAGCCCATAAGGATTGACATTTGCAAAATGCTATTGCATTTTGGTTTTAAATCAGCAAGGCGCTTGGCACGATCATTCCAGGCGCCAAAAGCAGCACCGGCGCCGGCACCGGTGTCGACTGCTGAAGCTGCGGCCTCCAGGGCTGCGGCCTTGGCCGAGCAGCTTGCAGCCAGGACACAGATGGTCCGAGTTTTGTGGCTAGACGGCTCAATGGCAAGTGGAATGGACCAGGCTAGCTGATCCTGTATTCATCTTGAGCCACGAGTTGAGAGTGTAACAAACAAACACACCTACATATATGTGTATATTTATATATTTCAAACAAGCTCTTTGCTTTGGCTGGTGCATTTGACTTATAGTATGGGGCTTGGTGGCTTGGCATCAAGCTTGTTGAGCCAGCCATCGGTGCAAGTGCATGAGGACACAAGAGCATGCCAACCCAAAAGTGTCCCCACGAGTTCAGCCGACAAAACACATGCTAGAGCAAAGTATGTCAAGTGTTGAGCAGCCAAAGCAATACCTGAGTAACGTCCAAGAATGTGCAACGCCCAATCCATGCTGAGACCAGATACCAGCTGAAATTATTTGCAGCAAGGCGACGTTGCTGACAGCCCCCATTGGAACATACACCAAGAACGCATTTGCTTGCGCGCTTCTATGCGGGCCTGACACGCAGTCCCAAAAGATGAGTTTGGTAGGCACTTGATTTGAATTTCGGCTGACGCGAATTGACGCGAACTCAGAGTTATGAAGGGATCATCTCCAGTGAGCAGAAAGAGCGCCAGCTGTGGCTGTTTTTGTGATAAGGATCCTGTCTATCCAGTGCCTCCAGATTTTGTTGGCCAAGAACACCGCTCAAGATAGTCCAACACATTCACTTGTTTCATTCGTTCGCAGAGGCTATGCAGCCCTCAGACCACTGGGCAGCCTGGCCCTTCCTCCCCGAAGTGTTGCATGGTTTGAACATTCGTTGTGCTAACAGCGGCTCCGAATTTGGATTTGGAATGCGCAGGACTGCCAGGGCCACAGCTTCGCCAGTGGCCGCTGCTTCTCCACCGGTGCGGCCCCAAGAGACTGGGCCCGGTGTGGAGATCGAGCCCCTCATCCTGGAGGCGGAGCCCGAGGACTTGGCACCTTGGATCCGTTGGTTCACTTTGTCAGACTCACTTTGACACTGAGTAAACTTTCAATTTCTGGTCGAGTTTGCTTTACCCAGGTGTACTCATTCCCGTGCTTGGTTTTGTTGGCACCCTTTCTCACATGTCTTCTTGGTTTGCTTTAGGCTTGCTTGGGTTTTCTTGGTCGGTGCCATTGGCAGCGCAGGGCGTTGCTGTTGCTGTTGGCATCGGCGTTGTTGAGCATTCGCCCTTGAGTGGCAAGAGTCGCTTGATCATTCCCTTGTGCCATCAAGGCTGTCATCGGAAATGCGGGCAACTGCAGCTCCTGGATTGGCAAGGCCATCGCAGATAGCCACTTCATGGCTATTGTGAAGACTCCAGTAGCGCCCACCACTTCCGCATCTTGGCAGGGTCTTGGCACGTTTTGATCAGATGGTTGGTGCTGGGGGTTGGCCGCTGCTCCTTGCTGATTTGCGATGCCTGAGCCCTGCTTCTGTGCGGAAAGATGCAGCTGTCGTCCAGGTCAAGTCAAGCGGCCAATGGTTGATCGTCCACTTTCAATTTTCGTGCTTACAAGTCTCGCCCACCTGGACAACTTCCTTCCTTTCCCTCCCGTTCCCTTACCTTCCCCTCCCGTTCCCCTACCTTCCCCTCCCGATCCCCTACCTTCTCTTCCCTTCCCTCCCCTCCCCTTCCCTTTCCTTCCCCGTCCTTGCTGCCTTCCTTCCTTTTTGTTTTTCTTGGCTGACCTCGCCTTAGGTCATCGTGGACGTGCGTGTGGCGGAGGAGGCGGGTCTGCAGAACCAGCGGCGCTGGGTGGCGCTCCGCGTCAAGCGCGTCGTGGGCGACCCCCGGCTGCCGCTCCGCGAGCTCTCCGCGCTTTGCGACCAGCTGGCGCCGCGCTTAGGGACGGCCAAGTGCCAATCCAACACCACAAAGTAAGGGTTGCCTGATTGGTACCTTTCAAACGGCAACGGCAAAATCTTGGGTGCCCTCAATCAAAGACACGCCCAATCCACTTCGACCGGATCTTACTTTTAAAGCTTTCCCCCTTTTTGGCCACCATTTTAGTGGCAACCCAAAAGGTGTGATCTGCCACTTTCAGGGTCTTTAGCAGCTTTAGCAACTGCTATCCCTGATTCTGTGATTTGGATTTGTGGTTTGGGCGTTTGGATCCCAGCTCCTTTTGAATGGGGAAGGTACCCGAACCTCCAATCCATCACACCACCAATCAAGAGTGAGGAGATTAGAGGGCTCAAACACCCTTTCAACCAAGGTGAACGCAGGTCAGCTTGGAGGAGTGTTCCTTCACTTTTTGGATGGCGAAGGGGAAACAAAACGAAACTGTTGCCATTTGGGGGTGTCTTCTATGTTGACAACATCCCTAATTGGATTCCCTAATTGGATTCCCTAATTGGATTCCCTTTTGGGTTTCCCCACAACAAACCATGTGGACAGAGTTCGCTCACAAACCGTGTGTGAGGTTCTTTTTAGGTCAGTTTAGTTGAAAAGAACCATGGGTTCCCTCACTACATGCCAATACTTCCTTTGTAGTTGAGGGTTGCCACTGGCCGGCAAGTCCACTCCGCTAGGTTTAGCAGGTTCCTCGTCCGCAGGGTTGGGGTGGCCAGGCAACGCCAGGAACATGTGCCCCTTTGACAAACCAAAAAAAACACGGATGGCAGTGTTGCAGTGGTACATGGATTGGCTTCAAACTGCTAAACCAGTGACCCCTCCTTTCAACCAAACTGACGCGGTCATGAAAAACACGTTACCAATGCCTCTAGATGTGAGTTTTCGAATTGGTGGACCAGCCTTTTAAGGGACCCATATTTGGGACCCAAGGAAAGCAGAACAGTTAGGCAGGGTTTGGTTTCACAGGTTTTAGTCCCATTTTGGGTACTGGGTTACCGCTTGGTTCCAGCAACTTGGTGAGCCGAAGAGCTGTTTCTATTGCCGCGGGTAAGGTGCACGCCGGCGTGGAGCCACGCACCTTGGTGCCCATCGACTCCCGTAGCTATTTGCTCATGAGCCAGGACCACGTGCAGGTGGGGAACGGTTCGGATGGGATAACGCTGTGCCTTGGACGGGTTCCGGCGCCAAGCCAATCTGTGGACATGCAACTCCGCGACCGAGCTCGGACGTAGTACTTGACGGCCCCATCACTTACACTAATTGAAACTGGGAGGTATCTTGGAGGTGTCCTCTCAGGTGCCCAAGTGACTCGGGGTGGGTCGAGTCACCGGATCAGCCTTTCCACTTCTGCAAGGTGCAACCTTTTTGTAGATAGCCTGCAAGCCGCCTACATGCTTCGGCTGCTGTCAGCATTCAAATGTGCATGTTTCGGCACATGTTTGATAGGCCCCTTTCCCATATAAGAAACTTTGCAACCAACAGCTTGTTTTCTGACAAAAGCGATGGTTCCGCTATGATTGTTGGGAATGCGTGTCAGCTCTTTGCCCCCTTAGAATCGAGTCAATGACAATGGTGTTGATGGGATTTGGATCTTACCGAAAGCTGTTGTTCCCCTTTTTCCAGTTTAGAAACGTCAAACATCCTAAACACGAGACACACCTCATTTTTCGAGTGGCACCAGAAGAGCCCCCTCCAAGAATCTCGAACCCCCAAAGCTTGAAGGCCCATGAATTCCAAGAGGTCTCTGTGGCCGCGCTGGTCGCCTGTGGGCACATGGTCTCGCCCTGGCGGCGCGTGGTGCCACCCGTGAAGGTTCCGGAGGCGAAGCGCTTGCCATGGGCGGGCCACCAGTGAGTTCCAGTTCTAGAGGAAGCTTTTGGAGGTTTTTGGGGCACCCTTCCAAAAGGAGTTCATGTTAGGCTTGAGGCCTTTAGAAT